AATTGCTGTTCCTTTCCGATGAGTGCTCTTATTAACTCCACATTTAATTTACTATTAAACTACCAAGTGATATTAACATACCTGTTATATCTGAGGGATGATCAGAATTGGAGAAACTACCTTAAGTACTTCCTATAGAGGAATAGAGAATTAAATAAGATTTCCTTGAAACTACAGAGTATATTCAATTGAGGGTAGGCACTTAAAATGCTACTTTAATTTTTATTTTATTATTTATTTGTTTAATCATTCATTTAAAAACAATTCTCTTGGCCCCACTGCACAGCTTGTGGGGTCCCAGTTCCCCGACCAGGGATCAAACCCGTGCCTCCTGCAGTGGAAGCGCGGAGTCCCAGCCACTGAACCGCCAGGGAACTCCCCCGTAAAATGTTATTTTAAAGTTATGTTTCTTTCTTTGGCCTGGTAGCAGGGCTTGCAGGATCTTAATTCCCCGACCAGGGGTTGAACCCGGGCCCTCGCCAGTGAAGTCTTGGAATCCTAACCATTGGACTGCCAAGGAATTCCAGAAAGCTATATGTTTCTGGACATGAAGTGATTCTTATATTATCATTTTTAATTTTACTTTTTCATTGTCCACATACAAAATATTGACTCCCAAACATCAAAATTATATTAAATATATGTACTACAAGTATCCACATTACAATCCGTTCTCAAGCATCTATATATATATTTTTGACCACACCGTGCAGCTTGCAGAATCATATTTCCCCAACCAGGGATTGAACCCTGGCCCTCTGCAGTGAAACCTCAGGGCCCGCCAGGGAATTCCCAAGCATATATATTTTTTGTTGTTGTTGTTGACCGAGCCACACTGCATTTAGGATCTTAGTTCGCCGACCAGGGATCCAACCCGCTGCCCTGCAGTGGAAGCGCAGAGTCTTAACCACTGGACCGCCAGGGAAGTCCCATATTTCCTTTTTTTAATAAGATACCTGGGACTTCCCTCTTCCCTGGTGGCTCAGTGGTTAAGAATCTGCCTGCCAATGCAGGGGACACGGGTTGGAGCCCTGGCCTGGGAAGATCCCACATGCTGCAGAGCAACTAAGCCCATGTGCCACAGCTACTGAACCTGCGCTCTAGAGCCCGCAAGCCACAACTACTGAGCCCATGCGCCACAACTAGAGCCTGGCCTGTGCTCTAGAGCCGCGAGCCACAACTACTGAGCCCATGTGCCACAACTGAAGCCTGCACACCTAGAGCCCATGCTCCGCAACAAGAGAAGCCACCGCAATGAGAAGCCCGCACACCGCAACTAAGAGTAGCCCCTGCTTGCAGCAACCAGAGAAAGCCTGGGCGCAGCAACAAAGACCCAATGCAGCCAAAAATAAATTTATTTTAAAAAAAATAATAAAGATTCCTGGGACTTCCCTAACGGTCCAGTGGCTAAGACGCCACACTCCCAATACAGTGGGTCCGGGTTGCATCCTTGGTCAGGGAACTAGATCCCATGTGCATGCCACAACTAAAGATCTAGAACCAACGCAGCCAAATATTTTTTTTAAAAGATACCTTGGACTTCCCAGGTGGTGCAGTGGTTAAGAATCTGCCTGCCAATGCAGAGGACATGGGTTCGAGCCCTGGTCTGAGAAGATCCCACATGCTGCGGAGCAACTAAGCCCATGCACCACAACTGATGAGCCTGCGCTCTAGAGCCCGCGAGCCACAACTACTGGGCCCGCGTGCCTAGAGCCCGTGCTCCACAACAAGAGAAGCCACTGCAATGAGAAGCCCGCGCACCGCAACTAGAGAAAGCCCACGAGCAGCAACAAAGACCCAATGCAGCCAAAAATAAATAAGATACCTTTCATATTATTTTTAGGTGTATTTTTTACAACAAAAAGTGCTACATATATATATGATATTTATACTTTGCTCGTTATGTATGATGGAGACCATTCCAGTCTACTGACGTTACTCACTCTACTAGCTTCTCACGCATAGCCATGTATTCCCCTAATTTCTCACTCCCTTCACATAAAGGCAAGGTCATAGAAGCAGTTTTGCCAAATGCGGAGGTACTAAAGGGTTTCAAGCAGGAAAATGTCCTGAAAGGCGGTTTCTATGTGGACCGAAAGCAGAAAAGGCAAGGGCTTCGGTACTGGCGTCACAGAAATTTGAAACCCAAAGGGAAACGGTCCGCGATCTGTAACAGTGATTTACATGCGGAGGAGGGGCGGAAGTGGGAATTAAAAGACCGCAATGACTCCAAAACCCTGAGGATGGAGTAAAGGGACCGCGAAGCACAGATTTCAACTAGCAAAGAGAAACGCTCTGCGTTGCTACTTCGTTCCAAGAATTCCATTTCCGGGGCCGTAGAGAACTGCGCATGCGCCTCGTGAAGAGGCCGACCGGCCGGGGCGGGGCCTGGACGGACCGCTACGGCCGTGTTTGGGGGTCGGTGAGGGGAACCCCGTCCGGGAAGGGAACGCGGGAAGGCTGGGAAGGGGGAGGGCCCGGAAGGTGTTTCCCTGTACTTGACTGGCTTGTTTCAAATTGCAGCCTGTAAAAATTTTAAGTTAAAGCTTACGATTGTGGGGGCCAGTTATGTCGGAAACTAAGATGTTTCCTATAAAGAAGTTGAACACGGTTTAAATAAAATCTGTTTCTAACAGTAGGTTGCTCTCATGTCCTGCTAGTAAGGCCAAAGTTATTCAGTTTTCTGGAAATGTGGGTCTCCTAGACTGGTGGGCATGGGGCAGTGGTTGGCTCCAGGAACATTTTGTGCAATTAGAATTAATTTTAGCAGTAGGAAATAAGAACTGAACTTGTCTCTGTATTACACACTAAAATGAGAAATACAAAACTCTCCCCGGGTCGAATGGGCTATTTCATACTGACACCCTGCAGAATAGCTTCTCCGTTTCTATTCCCCTTTCACTCCAAAGGCCAAATTCAACAAACTGCTCAGTTCCAGAGACTCAGGGACCAGACGTAGGGTCTGAGACCGGAGGACTAAGGCAAGTGATAATTTAGGTCAGTAACCGTTGCTTCAAAAAGAGCAAAACGTTTCCAAAATTGTTATAAATTGGACTTCCCTGATGGCGCTAATGGTTGGGAATCTACCTGCTAATGCAGGGGACACAGGTTCAAGCCCTGGTCCGAGAAGATCCCACATGCCGCGGAGCAACTGAGCCCGTGTGCCCCAGCTACTGAGCCTGCGCTCTAGAGCCTATGAGCCACAACTACTGAGCCCACGTGCTACAACTACTGAAGCCCACACGCCTAGAGCCCGTGCTCCACAATAAGAGAAGCCACCGCAATGAGAAGCCTGCGCACCGCAACAAAGAGTAGCCCCCGCTCGCCGCAACTAGAGAAAGCCCACGCACAGCAACACAGCCAAATAATAAATAAATAAAATTATTTTTAAAATTGTTATAAATTGTATTGGTTTTTTTTGCTAACGTGTTTTAACTATTTGCCGTTTTAAAACCAAGTCTTTACACAGTGAGTTGTATAAACAACTTTTTATACAACTACATACATCACTATATGTTTAAGGTGTAAAGCAAAATAGTCTGACTTCCCTGTATTGTGAAATGATTACCACAATATGTTTAGTTAGCATCCATCATTTCATATAGATAAAATAAAAGGAGGAAGGGCAATAAGAAAAAATTTTTCTCTTTTGATGAGAACTGCCTTATTTTGCAAAACGCTTATCCTATTCCACACTTGTGCTGAATTACCTTCAAATAGCTTGGAGAAAAACTTGTTTACATCATAATATACTTAAGTCAATAATAACTAAATATAATGCAGTTTCAAATTCACTATATGTTCATTATGAGAGTAATTAGAAATTTACCTTTGATTTTTAAACTGTAATGTATTTTAGCTGTTTGTGTTCTATTGCTGAAAGTTCTCTTATGAGCCTGTAAAATATATAGTATTCAGATGACATTGGGATTTATTTTCATCTGAGGAATAATTAACTTTGCCATATTTCTAAGGGCATTTAGTGGGGAGGTATATTCTCTTTAATATGTACCCTAAAGAAAGTAAAACTAGATTATCAACTATGCAATAACTTCATTTCTACCTCAATAGTTTTATGGCAATATCTGTCATTAAACATTTACTACAAAGTATGTTTTCCTACATCCCTACAGGTAGAAGATTTCATCCATAGAGAAATGGCAATCAATTGAAACATGATGTTTACATAGGGATATTAGCATTTAAAATATTTTCAGTCAAAATGAGCAGAATGTCCTGGTGTAGCATACATATGAAGACATAACATTTTTTTAAAGTTTCAGTGACCGGAATAAATTTTGGGATGTTTCTTAGAAAGATTAGTCTGTATTATGGAAAATTTCAAACTAGCCATGTTGGCAAAAAAGACGTTTCAGTGTGGACTTCCATGATTCCAATCAGGGAAATGAGTCAGTGGTGGAACATTTCATTAAACACAGAACAATAGAGGAGAATCTGATTATAAGGCTAAGTCACGAATCCAATTTTTTTTTTTGCGGTACACGGGCCTCTCACTGTTGTGGCCTCTCCCGTTGCGGAGCACAAGCTCCGGACGCACAGGCTCAGCGGTCATGGCTCACGGGCCCAGCCGCTCCGCGGCATGTGGGATCTTCCCGGACCGGGGCACGAACCCGCGTCCCCTGCATCGGCAGGCGGACTCTCAACCACTGCAAGTCCTCTCCCATTTTGAGATGGCCCACCTTCTGTCTGTGGAATATGTTTCTCTCTAAATAAATCCACTTCTTACCTATCAAAGCAAAATAAAACAAAAAAAACTGTTACAGACAGCAACTTAAAGGAAGCACATGAGCTGACTGGGAAGCACACGAGCTGACTGGGAAGCACCTTACAGTGCCCGCCCCCTGCCCCTCCTTCTCCCTCTCCCTGCGGCCGACCTGGGCACTCTCCTCGCCCCGCCTCTCGCCGGAAGCGCTCTGCCCAGGCCCCGCCCCCCGGAAGCCCTGCTTCTAATCGGGCGCTAGTAGTTTCCATAGGACCTGGAAGTGGAGACTGGGGCGTGAAGGTCTTTCGACAGAGTGAGCTTCTCCTTTCTGCTGAAAAGTTTCGCTGCGGGCCTCTCCTACTACCTCCTCAGGGTCTTGTGAGTGACTACGGACCTAAAATCCCCACACCCGCCCCTGAATTTACCCCAGGTAAATTCACATTTAGCCGGTCTGAATCTTTTCGGGGATCTTTTCTCTTCGGGTTAGAGATTTCTCTGAGGATGGCCCTTGCCCTTGGTTTTTAATACCTTTCGTCCAGGTACACACCACCTTTCGCAACACTTCGCTGCTTAAAACCTGTTAACTGTCTCGGCCTCCCCTTGTAAAGTTCTTGACCGCGAGGTGGATTCGCCCTTCACCCCACCCCCAGCCTCGCCCTCTCGGCCCCTGGAGGGCAGCGCCGGCCGCCCCGCTCCCGGACAGGCCGTCCTCTCCCCGGTCCTGGGGTTCTGCAGAGCCTGCCCCTCTCCTGAGACCCCCTCCCTCCCTCCCAGCGCCTCAGTCCTCGCGTTTCCTCAGGCCGGTCCTTGTGCTCCACAGGCTTCTTTCCTGGTCAGCCCTTCCCCTCATCCCGCGTAGGGGGACGTGACCTGCGCCAGCCTTGTGGACACCCATGGTTCTTCCGTCCCAAGTTCAACTCAGGTGGAAAATGGCCTCTTGCGGTAGGCGGGCATCTTATTCACTCGCCATCTTTCTAAATATGGGGGCGAAGGGGGATCAGGAGAAGCAGAGACAGAGCGACCGAGAGAGGGATAGAAAAACTGAGAAGCAGAAAAGAATGAGGGAGAACCAATGGGAACTTAGACGGTGGCTGAGGGACTTGCAAAGAGATAGTGAAATGAAATAGATTTAGCCTTGAAACTAGCGGGCGAATAAAATAGAGAAGTAAATTTAAAAAGCCGGATCTCCGGGTGAGCAGCATGGCGAGAGGCCTGGATCAGCGGTAGGAGCGAGGGCAGCAGTGGTGAGGCCCTGCACACAGTGAGTCCGGGAGAGGATAAAAGGTGGAACGAAGGCTTTCAGAGCAACAGGTGCTGGGAGAGAAAGAGGACAAAGGGGGACACGAAGAGCAGAGGAAGACAGAGCAGGAAGGAAGCGTCGCCAACTGAAGTGCCGGCGAGTGGGGAGGAACGGAATGTAAGGGGACCAGAAGAGGTGTAACCCAGAGAGGGTAGACAGGGAGCGGAGGTGGGGGAGAAAGAGGAACAAGGGGGAACAGGTTGCAGAGTGGGGCAGGCCAGGTGTGAGGGAGGAAATAGAGAAGAGTGCAGGAACAGCAGGAGAGCGGAGGAGAGACGTAGACGGAGAAAACTAGGGAGACAGATAAACGGAATGAAATGGTAACACATAGTAGTGCAGGTAGGTGGTGGGAGCTGGATGCAGTTGGATGGTGAGTTGTTTGGATATGGATGACTAAGTCGTGATATATGATTTGTGGTTTTAGAATATAGTACATTTAAAATTTGTTTAAATTATACAAATGAGGATGAGAATTGCAAACCTGCTGACTACAGGCTTATGCATTTCGTAATTATTTATATGAGAAGATAACTTCCATTTGCAATCCCTGTTCAGCCAGGGGGACAGTGACTTGATTCACTTAGTTGTGGGTCACGCCCTTCCCTTTTCCTGGCATGGAGTAGAGGTCAGGGGAGAGGACACCTGGGGCAAGAAATGACTGACTCTGTCACTACATGGTGCCTTTTTAGAGGAACATTTATTTAAAGTATTTTTTTTGTGTGTAATGCATTTAGTTTTTCTTTCTCTATTCTGTATCATTTGTTTTGTAAGTTGGAATAAATCTTAGTTCATTCTATTTCTCCTTTCCTATAAATAAGTATTTCGTTCTGGAATAATTTTTGGTCTTCTACAATCAACTCATATCATTCTTTTCTAACATTATAGTCTCAATTTTTCAAAACTTTAACACCAGGGGCTTCCCTGGTGGCGCAGTGGTTGAGAGTCCGCCTGCCGATGCAGGGGACACGGGTTCGTGCCCCGGTCCGGGAAGATCCCACATGCCGCAGAGCGGCTGGGCCCGTGAGCCATAGCCGCTGAGCCTGTGCGTCCGGAGCTTGTGCTCCGCAACGGGAGAGGCCACAACAGTGAGAGGCCCGCGTACCGCAAAAAAAAAAAACATAGAACAGGCAAACAGTGTATGACATCTTCCTCTGGCTAGTTATCCAAAGGAAACAAAATCATTATAGTGAGGGAAATACTTGCCCTCCATTGACCATTACTGCATTATTCACAGCAGGCAAGATGTTGAAAGAACCAAATGTTTGTTGACAAGTGAATGGATGTAGAAAATTTATGTCATCCATAAATTATGACATTATTATGACAGAAAAAGACAGACATTTTTTGTGGAAAGTAGAAATATCAGACTTATAGAGCCGTAGAGTATAAAGGTTCTTATGAGGGTTTGGGTAGTGTGGTAACTGGGGAGATGTTGGTCGAAGGATACAACATTCAGTTGTAAATGTGTACAACATATACATCTCATGTACAGCATGCTGACTATAGTGAATCCACTGTGTTATTATATACTTGGAATTTCCAGAGAGTAATACTTAAGTGTTCTCAGCACACAGATACAAAGATTACTGTGAGTTGATGGAATTGAAAGTTACTTTATTGTGATTATTATTGCACAGTGTTTACATGTGTAAAATAACGACATTCGATGACTCACGTACACCATTCTTACTCATCAATTATACCTCAGTAAAGCTAGAAAAAAAAAAAGTGGGGGCTGTGCTGGACTAGGCTCCTGGGGGTGTTGTTCAACACAGGCTTCCCATTAGATCATTGAGGCATTTTTCATATACATGTTTTGTACCCTTTGACCAGAGATTTCACTTAATATTGTCGGTGTGGGGCCCAACCTCAATAATATTTGAGGTGCCCCAGGTGATTCCAATCCGGATGCATCATTGAACATCAGGACTCTGAGTCCCCCCATTCCTGAGGGCTGAGATCTGGGCTGAGGGTGAGGGCTCTGCTCTGCGTGGGGATGGATCAGGGCTGGTCTGTGACCTGCAGGGGATCGTCGGGTCCAGCTGAGGTGCCCGCTGCTGCTGGGTACGTGAGGGCCTCACCAGGAGGGGAGCCTGAACTGAAGGAAAGGGTGGGAAAACTCACCTGTTGGTCTGTGTGTGGGAGTTACTGTCCGGAGTCCCTCCTGGGACAGTGGGCAGCAGAGGACCGTCTGTTCCACATGCTGAGGGCTTCCCTGTGTGTGTGGTGGTGACTCAGGAAGGAGGTGTGTTGATTCCAAGCATTAAATGGCATGTTTCCAACTTTCAGGGTCAACATCTAAAGAGAATTGCTACCTGGGTAAGAAGCCCGGAAGAGGAGGAAGAGGAAAGAAAAGGAGTCAGAAATGGCTCTTTCTCAGGTAAAGTCGTATTCTCAGCTGATTCTTCTGTCTGTCCTTCCTGAGATGCCCTTCTTTGGACTCACTAATCTCTGACTCTGAAGTATCCCGCCTGCCACCTGTACATTCACTGTCACCCGGGTCCTTCCCTCAGGGCCTGTCATCTCCACTTAGATCCTGTCTCCCCATGACTCAGTGACCCGGAACCTGTGAGGAGTCCCCACTGGGCAGGGCTTCACACCCATGGATTAGAGACGTGGTGTCAGTGCTATTGGGCAGCCGGGATTTTTTAGGGCCCCATCTGGATGCACTGTCTGCTTTCTGTAAACAAGGATAAAGATGCTGCACCTGGAAGTCAGATACTAATATGCACAATACCTGGTAAAATCTGGAAATCATACCAATTATGGGCAATTTGTTCAGACTTTTTTAAGGCAATTAAGCTAAACGAGTGAATCACTGACTTCAACTCTTAATGATTGCGAATGGAATGGAAAGTTCAGAAACAGACATCAGTGATAGAGGGTGTTTTAGTCCATTAGCAAATTTAGTCTTGAAATCAACCTAAATCTCTGACAGTTGGAAATTCTTCATATCACTTTCATTACCTCCATTCCTCAGAGGTTGTCTTTCTTTTTTTTTTTTTTTTTATAAATTTATTTATTTATTTATTTTTGGCTGCATTGGGTCTTTGTTGCTGTGCGTGGGCTTTTCTCTAGTTGCGGCGAGCGGGGGCTCCTCTTCGTTGCACTGCGTGGGCTTCTCATGGCGGTGGCTTCTCTTGTTGCAGAGCACGGGCTCGCAGTGTGTGGGCTTCAGTAGTTGTGGCTCACAGGCTCTAGAGCGCAGGCTGAGTAGTTGTGGCGCACGCGTAGCTACTTATTTGCTCCGCGGCATGTGGGACCTTCCTGGACCAGGGCTTCAACCCGTGTGCCCTGCTTTGGCAGGTGGATTATTAAGCACTGTGCCACCAGGGAAGTCCCTCAGAGGTTGTCTTTTTACTCTGGGTTGTATCCTATGACACAGAAGTTTTTACCTTTGCTGTAGGTAGATTTACAGCTTCATCTTTTTGCTAATAGATCTAGTTTCTCTGCACCATTTGTTATTGAGACTGCAGTTTCCCCTTCGTAATCTTGGCACCCTTGTCTATACATTTTATATATATTCAAAGGCTTATTTTTGATATTCTCGTCTGTTCCATTGGTTTATGTGTCTGTGTTTCTGCCAGTACAGCATCATCTTGATTACTCTGTAATATGTTTTGACATCCAAATACGACGGCCTCCATCTTCTTTTTCAGAAGTATTTTGGCTCTTTGGGATCCCTTGAGATTCCATATGAATTTTAGTATGATTTTTTCTATTACTGCAAACATTGCCATTGAAATTTTGATAGGGAGTCCATTGCATCTATAGAGCACTTTGGGTAATATGGTCATTTTAAGAATATTATGTCTTCCAATCCATGAGTACAGGGTATGTTTCTATTTATTTGTATCTCCTTGGACTTCTTTTTACAGGATTTAGTAGTTTTCAGTGTACAAGTCTAGCACCTCCTTCGCTAATGCTTTCCTAAATATTCTGTTCCTTTTGACGCTATAGTAAATTGAATCGTTTTCTAATTTTCTTGGACATTGTTCATTGTATACAGAAATGCAGCTGATTTTTGCGTGCTGGTGTTTTATGCTCCAGCTTTTGTAAAGTTGTTCTTTGAAATAGTTGTTTTACTGTGGAACCTTTTTAGTTTGTACATCTATAACCTTGTCACCTAAAAGAAAAGATAATTTTACTTCTTTTTCAATTTGAGTAGCTTAGAATTCTCTTTCTTGTCTAATGGCTCTAGCTAGGAAGTTTATTACTTTCTTGAACAGTAGTGCAGAGTGTGCATCTTTCCCTTTTTTTGTTGTAAGTATTTATCAGTGTAGACTTCCATTTTAGTACAGCTTTGGTTACCTGTGATAAATTTGGTATGCTGTGTTTTAATTTTTATTCAGATATTTTTCCCGTTTCCTTATAATTTCCTCTTTGACCCACTGCTTCTCTAAGAATGAGGTGCTTAATTTCTACATTGGGGGGATTTTCCTGTTTTCCATCTGCTCTTTATTTCTAGTATCATTTCATTGTGCTTATTTATTTATTTATTTGGCCACTTCGGCTGGTGGGCTCTTAGTTCTCTGACCAGGGATTGAACCCGGGCCCTTGGTGGTGAAAGCACGGAGCCCCAATGACTGGACGACAGGGAATTCCAAATTTCATTGTGTTTGGAGAAGATATTTTTTTATCACCTCAATCATCTTAAATTTGTTAAGATTTGTTTTGTGGTATAAGGTATGTTCCGTCTTGGAGAATGTTTCACAAGTGCTCCCGAAGGATGTGTTTTCTGCTATTGTTGGGTGGAGTGTTCTTTACATGTCTGTTAGGTACAGTTGTTCTATGGTGTTGTCCAAGTCTTCTGTTTCTTTATTGACCTTCTTTTTGTTTTCATGCGTAAGTAAAACTAGAGTATTGAAGTCTCTTACTCAACGTTTTGCTCTAGTCTATTTCTTTCTCTATTTCTGTTAATGTTTGCTCCATTTCGCGGGGAGGTCTAATGTTAGATGTATGTACATATATATATATATATATATATATATTTATAATTGTTATATCTTCTTGGTGATTTGTATGTTTTATTATTATATAATACCCTTTGTGTCTTGTGTCAGTTTTTCTCTTTAATTAAATTTGTCTGATATAAGATTGTCACCTCTGCTCTTTTTAGCATGGAATATCTTTTTTTTTAAGGTTATTTATTTATGTATTTATTTATTTTGGCTGCGTTGGGTCTTTGTTGCTGTGTGTGGGCTTTCTCTAGTTGTGGCGAGCAGGGGCTACTCTTCGTTGCAGTGCTCGGGCTTCTCATTGCGGTGGCTTCTCTTGTTGTGGAGTATGGGCTGTAGGTGCGCAGGCTTCAGTAGTTGCAGCACGCAGGCTCAGTAGTTGCGGCATGCGGGCCCTAGAGCACAGGCTCAGTAGTTGTGGTGCACGGGCTTAGTTGCTCTGCGGCATGTGGGATCTTCCCGGACCAGGGATCAAACCCATGACCCCTGCATTGGCAGGCGATTATTAACCACTGAGCCACCGGAAGTCCTGGAATATCTTTCTCATTCATTCACTTTTCGCCTTTCGATGTCCTTAGATTTGTAAATGTTCACCGTTTTTACTCTTTGACCTACTTTCTCTCTGTTTCTCATTCTGGGTCTCTGTTTTTCCTCCTGTTACTTCCTCTAGTGGTCCTTGCTCAGGCACACTGTACAGTGGTAAAAGGCAGGCGTCCTGGCCATCCCCCTTTACTCTACTGTAACTTTTGAGGGTATGCATTGGGTGTTTCCTTCTGATCATGATGTTTGTTGAAATCTTCTTGCTTAATAATGATATGTTTTTTCAATATTGTTTTTTGTGAAAATTTTTAATTCTACACATAATTGTAAACTTTAATATTGTGATAATTTTTTTTTTAATCTATTTAATTAGTATATAACAGTAATAACTTTTCTAATTTTGAATCAGTGTTTTATGGGTGGAGTACACAAACTGTTTTGCATTTGTTAATACCTACTTGTGTACATTTTAGTGAATAAAATTTTATTTATATTTTTGACTCTAGGTATTTTATAGAGATTGGAATTTAAGTGTCCTACACTGTTCACGTTAGTACCATTTAGTGACGTTGATACTTTTTCATGGTCCCAAAGGTGCTAAAATTCACATGAGTACCATTGATGATGGAAAAATATGTTCACGAGAACTCCTCTCATTCCAGTTGATTGTGTGTTTACATATGTGTCCATGAGTTCATGGATTTGCAAGTCTATGTTTTGTTTTGTTTTTAATATTTATTTATTTATTTACTTGGTTGTGCCGGGTCTTAGTTCCCACAGGTGGGCTCCTTAGTTGCAGCTCACAGGCTCTTTAGTTGTGGCACATGGGCTCCTTAGTTTTGGCATGCGAACTCTTAGTTGCCACATGCATGTGGGATCTAGTTCCTTGACTAGGGATCGAACCCGGGCCCCTTGCATTGAGAGTGTGGAGTCTTAACCACTGCGCCACCAGGGAAGTCCCAAGTCTGTGGTTTTGATAAAAGACAACATGATTTCATAAGTCTGTGTTATACCTAATTGTAGTTCAGTCAGTCTGTGTTATACCTAATTGTAGTTCCAATTGTATCTTTTTTAAAAAAATTATTTAATTTATTTATTTTCAGCTGCGTTGGGTCTTCGTTGCTGCGCACGGGCTTTCTCTAGTTGCGGCGAGCAGGGGCTACTCTTCGTTGTAGTGTGCAGGCTTCTCATTGCAGTGGCTTCTCTTGTTGTGGAGCACGGGCCCTAGGTGCGTGGGCTTCAGTAGTTGTGGCACATGGGCTGAGTAGTTGTGGCACCCAGGCTCTAGAGTGCAGGCGCAGTACTTGTGGCTCACGGGCTTAGTTGATCCGAGGCGTGTGAGATCTTCCCAGACCAGGGCTCGAACCCATGTCTCCTGCATTGGTAGGTGGATTCTTAACCACTGTGCCACCAGGGAACTCCCCCAATTGTATCTTAAATATATTCTTTGGCCTTATTTTTTTACACTATCATGTTAATGGTTCAAATAGTAGTAAGATTACTAACATTTTATGTGCATTTGTGTGTGTGTCCACATCTATAATGACATTTTATGCCCTTCCGTGGTGTTCTCCTTGAAGTTAAGTTTTCTCAGGTGACCCTCTATCTGTGTACCTTTAATTCTCTTTCTGTTACTTAAGTTTTTCTTCTTTTTTTTTTTTTTTTGTGGTTCGCGGGCCTCTCACTGTTGTGGCCTCTCCCATTGCGGAGCACAGGCTCCGGACGCACAGGCTCAGCGGCCATGGCTCACGGGCCTAGCCGCTCCGCGGCATGTGGGATCTTCCCGGACCAGGGCACGAACCCACATCCCCTGCATTGGCAGGCGGACTCTCAACCACTGCGTCACCAGGGAAGCCCTAAGTTTTTCTTCTTGATCTTCAAATCAAGAGCCAAACTTCCTTAGTTTATGTGCTTGTGTATTGTTTCTTTGTTTCTTGACCTGAATTGAGTTTCTCAGTGTGTTTCTGACAGTTTTCTCCTCTGTAATGTGGGGACAGATCTTTCTCTAATGAGCTCTGATGATGACTAAAAGCTTACACCTGTAAAACATTTGCAGTAATGCTTAGTATATGTTAAATATGCAAACACCTTTAGTCATTGCTGTTGCTATGCTTATCATAATTTAAGATTTTGACTTTTCTTTAAAGCCACTGTTGGGGACTTCCCTGGTGGTCCAGTGGTTAATGGGCCTTCCGGGCTTCCCTGGTGGCGCAGTGACGGAGAATCCGCCTGCCAATGAAGGAGACGTGGGTTTGAGCCCTGGTCCAGGAGGGTCCCACATGCCGCAGAGCAACTAGGCCCGTGCACCACAACTACTGAGCCTGTGCTCTAGAGCCCGCAAGCCACGACTACTGAGCCTGCATGCCACAACTACTGAAGCCCGTGCTCCTAGAGCCTGTGCTCCACAATAAGAGAAGCCACCTCAATGAGAAGCCTGTGCACCGCAACGAAGAGTAGCCCCTGCTCGCCACAACTAGAGAAAGCGCACGCGCAGCAGTGAAGACCCAATGCAGCCAAAAATTAAATAAATAAATAAATGCATAAATACGTAAATAAATTTATTAAAAAGAAAAAGAATGTGCCTTTCAATGCAGGGCACTCGAGTTCAATCCCTGGTTGGGGAAGTGAGATCCCACGTGCCGCAGGGCAACTAAGGCCATGCGCCGCAACTACTGAGCCCGTGAGTCACAACTGAAATCCAAGTGCTCTGGAGCCTGCGCACCACAGCAGATTGCCCGCATGCTGCAACAAAAGATCCTGCACACTGCAACGAAAACTCCCGCATGCTGCAATGAAGATCCCGAGTGATGCAACAAAGACCCAATGCAGCCAAAAAAAAAAAAAAGCCACTGTTGACTCTGTCATCCTTGAAGATATCACTCATAGCGTAGCTTACCTAGATATTAAATATCACTCAGTGTGTAAAATATAATATGTAACACTTCTGCATAGACAATCCATTGTTGAATTTTATTTGTATGTATTTTATGTATTGACTACAAAAGGAAAAATCCATTGATTGATGGGGGATATCATAATGTTAAGAAAAAGCCTAAGAAATTAGATTAGAGAATGACAATTTCCTTCAAATAGCTTTACATGGATCTGTCAGAATATTTACTTCAACTGAATTGATCCTTACTCCTCTGTCCTCTTCTCATTTTGTTGGAAAATAAGAATCTCCTCAGGGCTCTTTGGTTAAATGTGTTGTCATTTCAGACACAGTTGACCTTCAAGGATGTGGCCATAGAATTCTCTCAGGAGGAATGGGAATGCCTGGACCCTGCTCAGAGGGTCTTGTACAGGGACGTGATGTTGGAGACCTACAGGAACCTGGTCTCCCTAGGTGAGGATAACTTCCCTCTAGAAGTTGGGCTCTGCCCTTGGGTATCTTTCCATTTTCTCTTTTGGGCCTCTTGGGAGGCCCTGTTTGCTTGACTGATCCAAAATCCCTATTATCTCAGACATTGAAAAGCTTCATGATGTGGCATCAGGAGTTTAATCCTACCTTTCCTTAGATGATCTCCCCACTTCATGATTTATCAGGGGTTGTTTCAGAGCTTATGTATTCATAAAGCTGAATGGTAAACTTTTAATATACCCACGTTCCTATTTTTCTACTCCTGTGCTTTTGAGTTAGGAGTTCTAGGAAGTGAGCTACATTTCTGCATTTTATACTGTTCCGTGTGCGTTTAGAAGGAGGGGAAAAGTGGGTGAATTTTTGAAATATTTTTCCAGATTCATTTGTAATCTCCAGTTGAACAAAGAATTAGAGTTCTGGAAAAGTCACAGGAAATCACCTTTCTTTCTTCTTGTGTAGAGGGATTTCTGTTTCTCAGCTGAATATTTTACTCACTTTGTAGCAAGAGAAAGAGTGCTGGGCTGTTGAGAGTGATGTGAATGCCTTTGAGCACGTATCAAAGTGTGAACATAGGTCAGATCTCAGAAAGGCCGAGAGGAAACCTTGTTATTAATAGTGTTTGGTTAACTCTCCCCTCATCGGAGAGTTCTGTGGGAATACAGAAGATAATTTATTATTGTGAACCCTCAGAGGAAATTTTTCTTCTCCCCAACTTACCACGTTGTCCTTCAGCATGTAAAATGTGTTCTTTTACCCTCCAGTGGTACTGCAGCTCTACCAGAGACAAAGGCAAAGTCTTTATCGTGATCTACCACACTCTGCCATCTTGTACCTGTGAACTAGTTGTTGCTTGACCTGGAGTAGCATGAGGTGGGATTTTTTTAAAGGGGTCTCCTGCCCCCTCATCTCTCCTTCAGGGCGTTATTCCACTGGATGCTTAGTTCTCAGTCCACATGGATAAGAGCTGATGCCTCCAGACAAATCCCTGAACCTTTCTTGGTTCCATTGCCATTGGATGTTTTTAGAAGACCCAGACAGAAGATGGGAAAACACTGGCTGCTCTTTGATTCCATCTGGCACCTGACAACCTGCATAGAGCTGTCTCAAGTCCTGTCTACTTCTTTTGTTCTCCTCTTGCCACACAGTTCAGGGATGTGTGTCCTAGCCCTGTTGGTTGGATCTTCTGTTATTGTTACTTAGGAAAACTGTAAGGACAGTGTACAGAGAGATCCTCTTTTAATTTTTTTATTTTGTTTTTATTTTTTATATTAATTTGGTTGTGCCAGGTCTTAGTTGCAGCAGGAGGGTTCCTTAGTTGTGGCATGCGAATTTTTAGTTGTGGCGTGCATGTGGGCTCTTGCTCCTTGCATTGGGAACGCAGAGTTTTAACCACTGTGCCACCAGGGAAGTCCCGAGATCCTCTTTTTAATCCCCAGTCCCTCATGGGGGGAATATGTGCATCTTTCAGGCTTTTTGTTTGGCATCTGTGGGTAGAGTGCATGGTTCCATCTGAAGGTCCTATAATATCTGACAAACATATCTTGTATTTTTTCACTCGTATACTGCTCTACCTAGTCTACCTTCCTGATTTTGTATTCTCCTATGTTTGCGTGATTTTGCCTCTGAAACTTGCTTTTTTAAAATATTTTTATATTTTTATTTTTATTTTTTTTTGGTGATACGCGGGCCTCCCACTGCTGTGGCCTCTCCCGTCGTGGAGCACAGGCTCCGGACGCGCAGGCCCAGTGGCCATGGCCCACGGGCCCAGCTGCCCCACGGCATGCGGGATCCTCCCGGATCGGGGCACGAACCTGCGTCCCCTGCATCGGCAGGCGGACTCCCAACCACTGTGCCACCAGGGAAGCCCTGAAACTTGCTTTTGAAATACATAGTCCTGGACTTCCCTGGTGGCACAAAAATAAATAAATAAATAAATTCATTTAAAAAAAGAAATACATGTCTTCCCCTTTGGTAATCATAAGTTTGTTTTCTATGTCTGTGAGTCTCTTTTTATTTTGTAAATAAGTTCATTTGTACCTTTTTTTTTTTTTTTTAAAGATTCCACATATAAGCCATATCACATGATATTTGGCTTTCTCTGTCTGGCTTACTTCACTTAGTATGATAATCTCTAGGTCCATCCATGTTGCTTCAAACAGCATTATTTCATTCTTTTTTATGGCTTAGTAATATTCCATGGCATATATATACAACATCTTCTTTATACATTCACCTGTTGATGGACAGTTAGGTTGCTTCCATGTCTTGCCTATTGTAAATAGTGCTGCTATTAACACTGCAGTGTATGTATCTTTTTCAATTAGTGTTTTTGGGTGGGTTTTTTTTTTTTAATAAATTTATTTTATTTATTTATTTTGGCTGCATTGGGTCTTTGTTGCTGCCCATGGGCTTTCTCTAGTTGCGGAGAGCGGGGGCTACTCTTTGTTGTGGTGCACGGGATTTTCACTGCAGTGGCTTCTCTCATTGCGGAGCCTGGGCCCTAGGCACATGGGCTTCAGTAGTTGTGGCATGTGGGCTCAGTAGTTGTGGCTCACGGGCTCTAGAGTGCAGGCTCAGTAGTTGTGCACAGGCTTAGTTGCTCCTCGGCATGTGGGATCTTCCCAGACCAGGGCTTGAACCTGTGTCCCCTGCGTTGGCAGGTGGATTCCTAGCCACTCACCACCAGGGAAGTCCTTGTTGTTTTGATATTAAGTTGTATGAGCTGTTTGTTTATTTAGGAGATTAACCCTTTTTCAGTTGCATCATTTGCAAATATTTTCTCCCATTCTGTGGGTTGTCTTTTCATCTTGTTTATGCTTCCTTTTCTGTGCAGAGGCTTTTGAGTTTAATTAGATCCAATTTCGTTATTTTTGTTTTACTTTCCATTACTCTAGTAGGTGGATCCAAAAAGATACTGCTCCGGTTAATGTTAAAGTGTTCTGCCTATGTTTTCCACTGTTCTGTACTTTTAGAATGTTTTATGCTTCTTCATAGGTACATAGTTTTATAAGAGGTATTTAGAAAAATATTTGGTTGATTAAATTGTTTTGTCAAATTCTTCACTTTCTTTGTGCTAGATTAGTTTTCCAATTCAAAACTGACATGTGCTTTGGGGTCATGGTGGAAAAATACACTTTATTTGATAGCTAATACCAGTTTGTTTAATGTGAGAGTTTTTGTCATAGGTTGTTTGAAAATAGGGTGCTCTAAAATAATTAGAATTACCTCTGATCACTTTTTCTTTAGTAAATAATCCTATTCTTTTTTTTAAAAATTTATTTATTTTTATTTTTGGCTGCGTTGGGTCTTCGTTGCTGTGCACGGGCTTTCTCTAGTTGCGGTGAGTGGGGGCCGCTCTTCATTGTGGTGTGCAGGCTCCTCATTGTGGTGGCTTCTCTTGTTGCGGAGCGTGGGCTCTAGGCATGCGGGCTCACTAGTTGCAGCACGTGGGCTCAGTAGTTGTGGCTCTCAGGCTCTAGGGTGCAGGCTCAGTAGTTGTGGCACACGGGCTTAGTTGCTCCGTGGCATGTGGGATCTTCCTGGACCAGGGCTCGAACCCGTGTCCCCTGCATTGGCAGGCGGATTCTTACCACTGAGCCACCAGGGAAGCCCCAAGAATCCTGTTTTTTTTGCTTTACTACAGTTTTTAAGATCATTGTAGGTAGTTTCTTAACTCTCTTTGAAATAAGTACTATTTTTAGAGTAGTATCATGTATGTAACTTGAAATATTTATTTATGAATTACAATGTGTTGGATACGTATGATTCTTTGTATCTTGTAGATATTTCTTGTATACACGTGATCAAGAAATTACATCTAAAAGCAAACGCTGATAGAGAAGAAGTATTCCAAACCATAATGCTGTGAAGACATGAAAGGAATGAAACCAAACATTTTTACCTCAAGGTTGTCCAGGAAAATATTTATGACCTTGAGTCTCAGCAGAGAGCTGAGGTAAGAAATTACAAAGGCATGACTATAACCCATAACCAAAATCTCACTGGTAAGAGAGATGGACATGGTAGAAGCACTGCAGGAGTTGAGCTTATTGAAAACAGCCTTGCCTTAAGCTTTCTGGATGACCTGCATATTTTTAAAAGTGAGGAGAAAATTAATGAGTTTAATCAAGCTGACAAGACTATTAGCAGTAATGCCTTATGTTCACCACTTCAAGGAATTTCTTCTGGTGTCCAAACCAACATTTCTAATATACATGAGAGTGATTTTATGCATCCATCATTACTGACAAAATACCAGAAAGCACCCAGGGAAAGACCTTACAAATGTAATCTGTGTGGCAAAACCTTTTTTCAGGGATCACACCTCAGTAGACATCAGATCATCCATACCAGAGAGAAATTACATGAATGTGATATATGTGGAAAAGTCTTTAGTCTAAATTCAAACCTTATAGTTCATCAGAGAATTCATACTGGAGAGAAACCTTACAAATGTAATGAATGTGTAAAGGTGTTTAGTCAGAAATCAAACCTTGTAGTTCATGAGAGAATTCACACTGGAGAGAAACCTTACAAATGTAGCGAGTGTGGCAAGGTCTTTAATCAAAAACAAATCCTTGCAACTCATCAGAGAATTCATACTGGAGAGAAACCTTACAAATGCAATGAGTGTGGGAAAACGTTTAGTCAGGGCTCAAAACTCAGGCGTCATCAGATAATCCATACAGCAGAGAAGTTACATAGATGTCATATATGTTGCAAGGCCTTTAGTAGAAATTCAGACCTTGCAGTTCATCAGAGAATTCATTCTGGAGAGAAACTTCACAAATGTAATGAGTGTGGCAAGATCTTTAGTCGGAAGTCAAACCTTGCAGTTCATAAGAGAATTCATACTGGAGAGAAACCTTACAACTGTAATGAGTGCAGCAAGGTCTTTCGTCAAAAAGGCACCCTTGCAAAGCATCAGAGAATTCATAATGGAGGGAAACCTTTCAAAAATAATGAGTGTTGAAAAGACCTTACTCACATCTGAACCTTCACTACACATCAGATAATAAATACAGAGGGGAAACCATATTAATGTGATATATATGGGAAGGTCCTCATTCAAAACTGACAGTTTAAATTCATGGGAGATTCATAGTGAGAGGAAACATGCACATTCATGACTGTGGCAAAACCTCGCTTACCATCAGATAAGCCATACTGGACAGTAATCGTAGAAGTGTCATAAATGTCTCATAGTTTTTAGTCAAAATTTGTAAAGGTGCACCAAAAAATTCATACTGGAGAGAAACCTTACAAATATAATGAGTATGGCAAATCATTTATTGTCCTTTGAAGTCTAACTTAGTATCAGGTAATCCATATTGGTGAGGGACTTTAAGCCAGGGTTTTAGCAAGTGTACACATCTTAGCTTCATTGGAAAAGTCATACTGGAGAAATATCAGGTAAATGTATTTACTTTGACCAGGACTTTAGGCAACAAATTCATTCACCAAATAATTCATTCTGGAGATTATTACCTCACAAATGCAATGAATGGGAAAAACCTTTACTCGGGGCTCACATTTCATCAATCATCAGATAATCTGTACGCAACAGGACATTACAGATGTACTGAATATGGCAAAGCTTTTTGCTTGTGCCTTAAACTGAGGGTTCGCCAAATACTTCATACTTTAAAATGCAATAGGGACTTCCCTGGTAGGGCAGTGGTTAAGAATACACCTGCCAGTGCAGGGGACACAGGTTTGAGCCCTGGTCCAGGAAGATTACACATGCCACGGAGCAACTAAGCCAGTGCGCCACAACTACTGAGCCTGTGCTCTAGAGCCCGCGAGCGACAACTACTGAGCCTGTGAACCACAACTACTGAAGCCCGTGTGCCTAGAGTCCCGTGCTCTGCAACAAGAGAAGTCACCACAATGAGAAGCCCGCACACCACAGTGAAGAATAGCCCCCGCTCGCTGCATCTAGAGCAGCTAGAGAAAGCCCGCGCACAGCAATGAAGACCCAATGCAGCAAAAAAAAAAAAAAAGTAAAGTAAATAAAATGCAATAAATATGGCAATGTTTCAAATTATTACTTACTTGTCGCTAGATATCAGAATATTTATCCTGAAGAGAAACCACACAGATAAAATTTAATCACTCCTCATCACCCTGGTTGAATCCTGTTTCTTTTACCAACACAGTTTTATCCTGTCTTGGTGCTTTACAATAAACGCTAAGAATGCACCATTAGGCTGTCAGGGTGGAAAGAATCTATAGCAATTTCTTTCGAATATGGAATCAAACAACATATAATTTGGGGATTATATACTCATAATTTGTACTTGATTATTCCCTCCACTCTATTCCAGAATATTCAGATGGCTATAATGCAAGTAGCATAGCAGTTTATTTCAGACTCTGTATTTTATTGACGTGCAAAAATTGAACAGGGTAAATTTAAAGATCTGATTGGTTGTATTGAATGATTCATGAATTGGGCTGTATCCCACCTAGAAATTAAAGAGGTCCTAAACGTTGCTGTACAAATTGGAAGGCTTTTATAGGCAGTAACTTGGTGGGATAAGAATGTCATTAGTAAAAGAAAAGGTTCTTTCAGGCAAGGTTACCTTTTTTGGGGGAAAGTAGCACCAAAGTCTTAGTCTTATCCTGCAGATTACCTCACTAGTGTTCAGGAAACTCCAGAGTGATTGGTTTAAGGTGACATTCCTGCGAGGGGTGAAACTGCAATTACTTCTTGGTTTTCTGTCTTGGGGGCAAGTGAGTCCACCTTGTGAATGTGTGTGCAACCTCATCCCTATTCATGAATATGCGGTGTATGAATGTATTTCTTCATGATCTTTTTTGTGCCCAGTAAATCTAACATTGTGCACCTTGACTTACATGAAGGAAAAATAGGAACATAGAAGCACATAAAAAAATATTAGAAAAATTTAAAATCATCCAGTTTCACTTTTGTCCTTGAACCGCTCAGTAAAATAATTTGAAAATAACAATGTTCCTGAGTATTAACACTAAACAATATACAATGGGAAGATTTTTGCTTGATAGATAAACTAGAAATTTCACATATCACCACCAAAACAGTTTTTTGTTGTTGCTAGTTTGCACTTGTGGCTATTTACTGGGATAGGGTGGAACTCCACGCAAAGGCTAGTTTGGTCATTTAGATTGATATTAATGTTGAAGTGTTATGAGAATGTTTGTTATGTAATTCCGCTTTCTAGGGGGACAGGGAAGAATACCAAGGTGTTCAAAAAATGGTTTGACATAACAGGGAATGATTAATGACTTGATGTATTAAGGTGATTACTGGATCGGGCTTAGGGAAGGCTAACTAGTTATGGTTTGAACTTCCAGTTGGTATCAAAGAAGGAAGCCCTCAGACTTGATCTTCTTCACCACATAGGCCAAATAAGGAGAGGTTATGGTGAATCTTAATATATAGTTGTAAGTAGGCAAACATCAAAAAATGATGTGAGACTCTTTAATAAAACACTGGAGGGGTGGGATAGGGAGGGTGGGAGGGAGGGAGACGCAAGAGGGAAGAGATATGGGAACATATGTATATGTATAACTGATTCACTTTGTTATAAAGCAGAAACTAACACAACATTGTAAAGCAATTATACTCCAATAAAGATGTAAAAATAAATAAATAAAAAATAAAACACTGCACGTTTACTCTTGAAAATCCTGTTTTCTTGGTTAGGAAAGACCACACTTTTCTTTATGCTACTAATTTATTTCATTTCTTTTCCTGCACCACATGTACATTCCATTGTTCAAGTTGGATTATTTTATTTTATTTTTGGTCCGGCTGCTAAAAAATGGATGTGGACAGATGAATGGATATATGTGGTACACGTATACACTGGAATGCTACTCAGCCATAAAAGAATGAAATAATGCCATTTTGGGGAACATGGGTGGAGCTAGACATTATCACACTGAGTGAAGAAAGTCAGGAAGAGAAAGACAGATACCATATGATATCACTTATCTATGGAATCTGAAATATGACACAGGGAATTCCTCCTCAGTCCATTGGTTTGGACTTGGCGCTTTCACTGCGGCGGCCCAGGTTTGATCCCTCGTCCGGGAACTAAGATCCCGCAAGCCAAGCAATGGAGCAAAAAATATAAAAAATAAAAAAATAAAATGCGACCGAAACGAACCTATCTATGAAGCAGAAACAGACTTACAGGCATAGAGAATAGACTTGTGGTTGCCAAGGGGGAGGAGAGGTAGGGGAGGGATGGACCGGAAGTTTGGGGTTAGTAGATGCAAACTATTATATATAGAATGGATGGACAACAAGGTCCTACTGTAGATCACAGGGAACTATGTTCAATGTTCTGGGTTAAACTGTAATGGAAAAGAATATAAAAAAGAATGTAGGGAGTTCCCTGGTGATCTAGGGGTTAGGATTCAGGGCTTTTACTACTGTGGCCCAGGTTCAATCCCTGGTCAGGGAACTGAGATCCAACAAGCTAAGCAGCATCACCAAAAAAAAAAAAAAAAAATCAACTTGGTTTTTGGAAATGCTGTAAAGATTTTATTTAGATAAGTTGTCTAAGATATCTTTATACTAGTTTACTAAAAATTAATGTCTAGAAATGCTTAGTTGATGATGTAACTAAACAATTTACTAGAGAATTATCCAAAGACTATTAAAATTTGTATTTCAAATTACAGTATTAAGCAGTATGTTCCATCATTAATTTTCTAGTATAGTAAAAGGTTTTTTATACACTTTTTGTTTTTGCATTATTATTTCCTCCCTTGCATATTTCCCTTGATTTGCAACAAGGGGTGTATAAATCAGTGGGTTGTTTTGGGACTTTTGTGATGTGATAATGCATATAAGCAATGACACAAAGTAGGTGTACTGTAAACATGATGAAAGAGTTATTTCGGGGCTTTAGTTCAATGAAAGAACTGAAATGGCAAAATGGTGCCATGAAAACTTTTTTTCTAAGAGTTGGCTGTGGTTAGGTGCTTGAAAAGCAAGTGTGTGGAGCTAAAGAAGCATGCAGTGAAGAGAATGAAAATATCATGATACGTAAGAAAGAAAGATCGAAAGAATCCAAGTATAGTCTGTGACAAGGAGATAATCCCCATTGCCAAATTCCTGGAAATCATTCTGTCCTTTCCCAGTGATGTATTCACATTCATTGCCAGAGGATCTTACAGAGAAAAGATTTGTTCTGTTTAGCATGACAACTGACACCTGATATCCTCCACTTAGAGTTTCTTCCCATCCCCAAATGATATATTTTTCTTTGATAAGTTCTTGATTTTGATTAGTGAGAGTCACTGTTATTATTGCTTTATGCATAATAAGATATTGGATTTTCATCTCTGAAGAAAAGTACTGTTTAATATTTCATGAATGAAGCAGCTTGGCACAATTACAGGTTTAAAGACTTATTTAGTCCCATCCCAGCAAGTGGGTAAATCAGGAATTGAATCCATGTTGACTGGCTTCAAAGAGAGGTATCTTAACCATTTTGCTACTCTAATAAGCCAAGTTATTTAAATCCTTCAACCACACAACATCTATCGTCAATTTTACGAGTATAACTTGCCATTTTTAAATCGACTATCGTCATATATAATTGTGGTTATGGTAACTTCCTATTATGTCAATCCAGTTATACCTCTTTCATTGCAATTTGCTTTATTGTGCTTCAAGATACTGCATTTTTTTTTTTTTACAAATTACAGTTTTCTGGCAACTTTGCATGGAGAAAGTCTTTGGGCCATTTTTCCAACAGCCTCTTTGTGTCTCTGTGTCATATTTTGGCAATTCTCTGAAAGTTTCAAATGTTTTCATTATTATTAAATTTGTTGTGGCATCTGTGTAAAAAAATAAATCCGCACAGCTCACACCCATGTTGTTAAAGGTTACTTGTAGCTGTGTGGGGTTCTGTTTTCCTCATTCTGTTCCTTTGGTCTGTGTGTCTGTCCCTCAACAAATCCCACACAATCTTGATTACTGTTACTATATTAGAAATCTTGAGATCATGTGGAATGATTCCAGCCACTTCAGTATTTTTGTGATGCTGTAGCTCTTCTCGTTCTTTTGCCTTTCCATATTAATTTTAGAATAATATTGATTGTTCTATAAAAATCTAGATTGGAAATGCATTATACCTGTATGACAATATGGGGTAATTTAACAACATTTAGATGTTGTTTTCCAATCAATGAATATGATATGTCATATTCAATATGGAATGTCATAAGTAAATGTAAGTAAAAGTTCATCATTGACTTCTTTCATTACTGTTTCATGAAAGTCAGTGTTTTGTTAGATTTACTCATTTTTCTTCTTTTTCTTTTTTGAACATTCAAACATGATATTATATTTTTAATTTCAGTTTCCATTTGTAAATTGCTAGTATATACAATTATAGTAGATTTTTGGGCGTTCTTATATCATGACACCTTGCAAGTTGCAGTTTTTCTCTCAGTTTCTGTAGACTCCTTTGACTTTCTACACACATCATTCCATTAAATTTCATGTATTATTGAATTATTTAATGTATTTAATTATTTTTGACCGTCCCTTATAGAACAGAAGCTATCTGAAACCAGGGTATTGATTTTATCTGCTGGATCATCAGTGAGGGAATCATTCACGGCTGACACGATGAGTGAATCCATGTTGCCAGTGTAAACAAGGGTGCTGGAATGCACAGGCTCATTGACCAGTAGCTTTAATGGTCATGGAAGTATTTGTGGTACTGGATTCCTTACTCCTGTGACATTACAACCTAACATTCTGAACATTTGACATAAATTCTCATGCTATATTTTGTTAATGCGGTGTGAATTCTAGGCAACATGTGCTCAACAGCTGTTAACTCATCACTTAAGTGATGTTTTCATAAAGTCTTTTTAAGCCACGAAATGTTTTTTTAAATTTATTTATTTTAAATTTTTGGCTGCGTTGGGTCTTCGTTGCTGTGCACGGGCTTTCTCTAGTTGCGGTGAGCGTGGGCTGCTCTTCGTTGTGGTACATGGGCTCCTCATTGCGGTGGCTTCTCTTGTTGCAGAGCACGGGCTCTAGGCGCGCGGGCTCAGTAGTTGCAGCACAGGGGCTTAGTAGTTGTGGTTCGCAGGCTCTAGAGCCCAGGCTCAGTAGTTGTGGCCCACGAGCTTAGTTGCTCTGGCGCATGTGGGATCTTCCTGGACTCGAACCCATGTCCCATGCATTGGCAGGCGGATTCTTAACCACTGCAACACCAGAGAAGTCCTAAACCACAAAATTTTGAATTCAAGATTCTTTCTGAAAGGCTTCATTCTGTACCCATCAGAAAATAATAATCCTGTTTATCAGGAACACCTGGAGAATGGTGACTGAAAGAAGTTGGAGGTTTATCATTCTCACATAAGAGGAAGTCCAGGGGGCGAAGTTTGTGATGTGATGGGTCCTTTGCCCCTTCTATCTCCATGAGCACTTAGTCTTTACTTTGCTTGTAGCAACATGGCTGCTGGATGACCAAGAAGGGTGACGATTGAGAACAAAGCCCTTTTCATTTTCAGATTTTGTCTCGTTTTCAGCGAAACGTTAGTCTCACATGTTTTTCTAAATATTACCTACTTTTTAAGTGGCCATCATAGTTTTAGTAAGAAATGTGAATTTTTGAATTTCATATTTCCACCTAAAGAACAGAGAAAAGTAAAGGGAAAAGATGTTAGGGACAGAGTATGTGAATGGAGTTTGTTCTTTATCCTGAGAATGAGATGATAGATGCTTACTAAACTTATTTCGGTAATTATTTCAATCTATGTAAGTCAGAACATCATGCTGTACAACTTAAACCCACACAGTGATGTAAGTCAAATACGTATCAAAACTGGGGGAGGTGGGAGCGGAATGTGATTTTAAATAAAGGCAAAACACTTTAGCAAAAAGAACAAGGCAATTTATAACAATTTTTAAAAATGTATTGCATTTTTTTTTGTTTTTTTGTTTGTTTGTTTGTTTTTTCGCGGTACGCGGGCCTCTCACTGTTGTGGCCTCTCCCGTTGCGGAGCACAGGCTCCAGACGCGCAGGCTCAGCGGCCATGGCTCACGGGCCCAGCCGCTCCGCGGCATGTGGGATCTTTCCGGACCGGGGCACGAACCCGTGTCCCCTGCATCGGCAGGCGGACTCCCAACCACTGCGCCACCAGGGAAGCCCTGTATTGCATTTTTAAAAGCAATGATTAGTGACAGAAATTATCATATGCCTTAGTCCTCCATCCTCAGGTGCTAGGTTTCGTCTCTGAGTGTCTGGAACCAAGAGACTGTTGAGTTTGTAGTCCTGGCTGAATGAAGAATAGAAAGGAAAATCTATTCTGTAAGGTGTCACTGTGAAATGGCCCATTCTACACTGGGAGTGTTTTTTCATTTCTCATTCTAGTGTGTAATACAGAGGCCAGTCTAACTCTTGTTTCCTTAAACTGCTTAAATTAGTTCTAATTGCAGGAAATTTTCCGGGATCCAACCACTGCCCCGCAGCAACCCATTGGAGACCCACGTTTTCAACCACTGAATTGCTTGAGCCTCACGACCACGACATGCGAGCAACCTGCTGGCAAAAAAAGGTTTTTATTGAAACCGTTTCAGCTTGTTAGGAGGAAACATATTAGCTTCCCACCTAAGTAGCCCACAGAACTGTAAGCTTTTACTCCAAGTTACGGAGAAGCACCAACTCTTCCCCGACACCTCGTACTCCATTCACAGAACTGGCTCCCTCCTCGCCCCGCCCCTCGCCCCTAGCGCTCCGCTCAGGTCCCGCCCCCGGAAGCCCTGCCTCTAACTCCGCTCAGTTTCTTACGGAACCGGAAGTGGGGAGCTCGGAGTGAAGGTCGAGCTGTTGGGGGTAAGTGTCTCCTTTGAAGTGTAAATTTGTGCTGCCCGGCTCCCTTTACTCAAACCTCAGGGTGTTGCGAGTGACTGTGGACCTAAAATCCCAGCGCTCGGCCCTCCTACCCCTGTAAATCCAGACGTCGCCGTTACGGGTCGGGTATCTTTCATTTGGGTTTGAATTCGCTACGCGGCTGGTCCCTGCCCTTGGCTTTTCTGCCTTCGGTCCACGTACACACCGCCTTTCACTACATTTTCCTGCTTAAAACGCTTTAGTAGCCCCCCACACACACCCATGTAACGTCCCCTTCCGCGAGGTGGACTCGCGCCCCGCAGCCTCGCCCTCTCGGCCCCTGGAGGGCAGCGCCTGCCGCCCCGCTCCCGGACAGGCCGCGTCCTCTCCCCGGTCCTGGGATTCTTCAGAACCGGCCCCTCTCCGGAACCCCCTTCTTCCCCGCCCCTCTGTCCTCGCGTCTCCTCAGGCCGGTCCTTTTGCTCTCCCGGCTTCCCCTTCGTAGTCAGCCCTTCCTCTCCCCCGGCGTGGGGGGCGGGGAGTGACCTGGGACAGGCGTGTGACACCCAGTGTTCTTCCGTCCCAAGCCCATCTCGCTGGAAAATTTCCTCTTTTGATACGCGGGCATCTTATTCAGTCACCATCTCTGTAAATACGTGGGCGAGGGGGATCAGGAGGAGCAGAGACAGACGGACAGGAATAAAAAACAGAACGAGAAAAGAATGAGGGAGATTCGATGGGAATACAGGGGGTGGCTGAGGACTTGTAAAAGACAGGGAAATGAAAGCGATTAAGCACTGAAATAGGTGAAAAAAATAAAGAAGTAAATTTTTAAAAAGTCGGATCTCCAGGGATGGGAGAGCAACACAGGGCCCTGGGTCAGCGGCGGGATGGGGGTAACAAAGGAGAGGCACTTAACACAGAGTGGGCGAGAGGATGAAAGAGTTGGAAACTTGGGCTGCAGAGCAACGTGGTGCTGGGAGAGAAAGAGGACAAAGTGTGACTAGAAGAGAAGAGGAAGAGAGAGAGAGAGAGCAGGAAGGAAGCGCAGCCATCTGAGATGCCAGATAGGGAGGAGGAAGGGCGTGTAACAGGGACAGAAGGGGTGTCACCCGAAGGGCAGAGAGGGAGCAGGTGGGGGAAGAAAGAGGCAGAAATACATAGAGATTTAGGGTAATCAGAAGGGTTGGGGAGAAAGAGCATCAGGAGGGGGAACAGGTTGCAGAGTTGGGCAGGACAGGTGTGAGGGAGGAAATAGGAGGGCAGGAACAGCAGCAGAGCAGAGGGGAACAAGAAGAGAGACAGAGACAAATAAAAAAATAGGGAGACATAAACCTCATGAAATGGAAACACATTGTAGTGCAGGTAGGTGGTGGGAGCTGGCTGCAGATGGATGGTGAGTTGTTTGGATATGGATGATTAAGTTGTGATACATGATTTGTTATTTTAAAATGTAATTAATTTTTCTTTAATTATACAGATGAGGATGAGAATTGCAGAACTCCTGTCATGTGCATTTTGTAATTATTTGTATCAGAAGATAACTTCCATTTGCAAACCCTGTTTAGCCAGGGGGCAGTGATTTGCTTACTAAGTTGTGAGTTACTCCCTTCCCTTTTCCTGACATGGGGCAGAGGAGTAGGGAGAGGACACCTGGGGCAAGAAATGATTGAATCTGTCACTACATGCTACCTTTTATTTTTTTGTATATTTTTAAAACATTTTTTATTTCTTTAATGTTGTATCTAATTTATTTTTGGCTGTGTTGGGTCTTCGTTGCTGTGCGCAGGCTTTCTCTAGTTGCAGGGAGCAGGGGCTACGCTTCATTGCGGCGCGTGGGCTTCTCATTGCGTTGGCTTCTCTCGTTGTGGAGCACAGGCTCTAGGCGCGTGGGCTTCAGTAGTTGTGGCTCGCAGGTTCTAGAGCGCAGGCTCAGTAGTTGTGGCGCACGAGCTTAGTTGCTCCACAGCATGTGGCATCTTCCTGGAACAGGGCTTGAACCTGTGTCCCCTGCATTGGCAGGCGGATTCTTAAGCCCTGCGCCACCAGGGAAGCCCCTACATGGTACCTTTTAAAAGGAACATTAAAAGTGTTCATTTTTTGTGATGGGTTTTCTTTTCTTTTTCATCTCTTTACATATAATTCTTTTTGTAGCGTGGAATAAATTTTCATTCAGTTTCTACTTCCCTATAAATAATCATTAATTTCTGTAACAAGCTTTGGTGGTCTTCTATAATCATGTCAAGTCATTCTTTTCTAAACATGATATATTGTCAAATTTTTAAAACTTTGACACCACAATTATTAGATGAAAAAACTCACAAATTGTTTCTTTTTAAAATGTGTTTCAGATTTCTTGGAGGCCTGCCTGCTTTCTCCTCTTTATCTTTTGTACCGGAAAAGCTCTTTGGTAGGTTACAAATAATTTTAGACTGTTTTGGTGGACACTTGGTAAAGTTGTCAATGATCTTTTATATTAACAGTCAAATCCTAGTTTTACCAGTTAGTCTAATATTTTGTTTTCTCCTTTTCTTGTGTTCTGCTAAGAGGAAGAGGAGGAAGGGGAAAACAGAGGAGTCAGGAATGACTCTTTCTCAGGTAAAATCATATTTTCAATTGATTCACAGTCTGTCCTCGTAAAATGCCCTTCTTTGGACTCGTTAATCTTCCCTGACTCTGAAGTATCCTGCCTGACAGTTGTACATCACAGTCACCTGGGTGCTTCCCTCAGTCCCTGTCGTCTCCACTCAGATTTCACACCCATGGATTGGAGATGGGGTGTCAGTGCTCCTGGGCAGCAGGGATTGTTGAGAGACCCCATCTGGATGCACTGTCTGCTCTCTGTCAACCAGGATAAAGAAGCTGCACATGCAAGTCAGGTATTAATATGCACAATACCTGGTAAAATCTGGAAAACAGAACGATAAGGGGGAATTTTTTTTTCCATGGCTAAGAAATTTATTTAACCAAACAATGAAAAACCAATAAAGGGATCAAAGTCAAGAGTGGTCTGATCACAAGGACACTTTCCAGTTTTAGTATACGTGCTGCCGAAGCGAGCACAACAAGGACGCTTTGAGGAAGGAAGATTATAGGCTGGCCGATCTCACCCCTAAATATAAATGCAAAAATCTTAAACATAGCATTAGCACACTATGTCATGGGTCTCAATTATTTGTCTCCCCATCCTATGGGAGAATTATACTTCTAATTCTCTATGGGCATCAGGCACGGTCAGAGGACTTGCTTAAGCCAATAAAATGTGAGCAAAAGTGACCCACGCCCTTTTCAAGCCGAAGCTTTAGGAGCCATCCTGTGGTTCTACCATGGATCCTTCTGTGATATGAGTAGGGTGTCCTAGATAAGGACTGCTCTACCCTTTTGGGTTCCAGAATGAAGAAAATGTGAATATTGCAGCCAAAATTTAACCTGAGCACAAAATAAACCCTGTTGCTCCAAAAAGAAAAAAAACAGTGGTCTGATCAGATTTGCGTTTTAGGACATTATATTGGCAGCAGAGTTACCTGATTTCACTTATCTAATTGCCTGAAAGAGACAATAGACATCATTTAGATAGGGATATGTTGAAAAGCTGATCTCTGGTGGCCTCGGCCTACAGAGGCTTGAAGCAGAATCTCAGCTCCCAGGTGGAGGTTGAAGTCAGGTCGTGGCAGTGAGAGTGCTGAATCCTAGCCCCTAGACCACGAGGGCCAGTGGCCATTGACAAGGCCCCTGGCCCGAATTCGTTCATAGAAACGAATTGCGACAGACGGAAAGTAGTGAAACAAGTAAAGTGTTTATTAGGAGGCAAAAGAGTACGTCTGAATAGACATACACGGGCAGGCTCAGAGAAAGAGTCATACCTTTGTGGTAGTTTGAATCACTTACATAGGGCATTTCTTCTGGGTTTCCTCTGGACAGTCATCTTGCTTTGTCTGGCTCCGAGTCTGTATTTGGTTTATCCCAGGGTCCTCTCCTGTGTGTGCACGAGTCTCTCAGCCAAGGTGGATTCTAGCGAAGACGCATTAAGGGGAAATTTGTTCTGACTTACTCAGAGACTCAGTTGAAGCTAAAGGAGCAAGTCACTGACTTAATCTTAATGAATGGGAATGGAATGGAAAGTTCAGAACCTTACATCAGTGACAGAGGGTGTTTTCTTCCATCCTTGAATTTAAACCATGAAATCAACCTAAATCTCTGACAGTTGGACATTCTTTAAATCACCTTCATCACCTCCATTCCTCAGAGGCTGACTTTACCTGTGGATTGTATCCTTTGAGACAGAAGTTTTTACCTTTAATGTAGGTAAGGTTCCAGCTTCATTCTTTTGCTAGTAGGTATGTATTTTCTCAGCACCATTTCTTATTGAGACTATCCTACCTTTTGTGTAGTCTTGGCACCCTTGTCTATGCATTTTACATATATTCCAAGGATTATTTGAGTTTTCTAATCTGTTCCATTGGTTTATGTATCTGTGTTTATGCCAGTACCACATCATGTTGATTACTTTGTAATAGGTTTTAAAATCTAAAAATGACTGCCTTCCTCTTCTTTTTCAAGAGTATTTTGGCTGTTCGCTGCCTCTTGACATTCCCTATGAATTTTAGCATTTTTTTCTATTACTGCAAAAATTGCCTTTGAAATTTTATATAGGGATTCCGTTGAATCTGTAGAACACTTTGGGTAATTTGTTCATTTTGTTCTTTTTTTTTCTTTTTCTTTTTTTTTTTTCTTTTGGCTGCTTCACAGGGCTTGCAGGATCTTAGTTCCCCAACCAGTGATTGAACCTGTGACCCCTGCAGTGGAAGCTCGGAGTCCTAACCACTGGACTGCCAGGGAATTCCCTAATTTGGTCATTTTAAAAATATGAAGTTCCCAGGGCTTCCCTGGTGGCGCAGTGATTGAGGGTCCGCCTGCTGGTGCAGGGGGCGCGGGTTCGTGCCCCGGTCCGGGAGGGTCCCGCGTGCCGCGGCGCGGCTGGGCCCGTGGGCCATGGCCGCTGGGCCTGTGCGTCCGGAGCCTGTGCTCCGTGGCGGGAGAGGCCGCAGCGGTGGGAGGCCCGCGTGCCACAAAAAAAAAAAAAATATATATATATATATGAAGTTCTCAATCCATGAGTACAGGGTGTTTCCATGTATCTCTATGCACTTTTTTTTAGAACGTTTAGTACTTTTCAGTGTACAAGTCTTGCACCTAGTTGGCTGATCTTTTCCTAAGGATTCTGTAGGATTGTTCTCTGATTTTCTGTTGACATTGTTCATTGTATATGCAGCTGATTTTCATGTGCTGACTATTTATGCTGCAACTTTTTTAAAGTTGTTTTTTGAGGTAGTAGTTTTCTCTTGGAATCTTTTTGCTTTCGATATAGAAAACCTTGTCACCTACAAAAAAAAGATAATTTTACTTCTTTTTCAGTTTGGATAACTTTGAATTTTTTTTCGTTTTTCAATAACTCTAGCTAACTTGTTCAATAGTTTCTTGAACAGTAGTGCAGAGTATGCATCTTTCTCCTTTGTTGTTGTTTGATTTAGCAGTGTGGACTTCCCGTTTAATACATCTTTGACTACCTGTTATAGATTTTGGCATGTTGTTTTTATTTTCATTCAGATATTTAAAAAATTTCCTTGTCATTTCTTCTTTGACCCATTGCTTCTTTAAGAATGAGCTGTTTAATTTCCACTTTTGGAGCATTTTCCTGTTTTCATTCTGATCTTTATTTCTGGTATCATTTCACTGTGGTTAAAGAAGATACTTTTTATGATCTGAATCTTCATAAATTTGTTAAGATTTGTTTTATTGTCTAGCATGTGGTCTGTCATGGAGAACGTTTCACATGTGCTTGAGAAGGATGTGTTTGCTGCTGTTGGGTGGAGTGTTCTGAACATGTTTGTTAGGTACAGTTGTTCTACAGTGTTGTTCAAGTGCTCTGTTTCCTCATTGATCTTTTGGTTTCCATGCATTGGTAAAACTCAGGTATTGAAATCTGATACTAATATTGTGCTGTTATCTATTTCCAATTTTATTTCTGTTAAGAGCTTCTTCATTTTGGGGGGAGCTCTGATGTTAGGTGTATACATACTTGTAATCGTTATAGCTTCTTGGTAGATTTACCCTTTTCTCATTTCATAATGTATTTTGTCTCTTGTGTTAGTTTTTTCCTTAGTTTATTTTGTCTGATATTGTGCAGTCACCCCTGCTCCCTTTAGGATTGAATATCTTTTTCCATCCTTTCACTTTTCGCCTTTCCATGTCCTTAGATTTGTGAATGTTCACAGTTGCAGCTCTGACACACTCTCTGTGTGTCTCTTGCTCTCTGTTTTCCTCCTGTTACTTCTGCTAGTCGTCCCTGCTCAGGCACACTGTACAGTGGTGAAAGGCAGGAGCCCTGGCCAGCCCGCTTCACTCCACTGTAACTTCAGCAGGAATTAATCAAGTGTTTCCTTCTGATCATGATGTTTGATGGAATATTCTTGCTTAATAACAATATTTTTTTTCCTTTTTTTTTTTTTTGCGGTATGCGGGCCTCTCACTGTTGTGGCCTCTCCCGTTGCAGAGCACAGGCTCCGGACACGCAGGTTCAGCGGCAGCGGCTCACAGGCCCAGCCGCTCCACAGTATGTGGGATCTTCTCAGACCGGGACACGAACCAGCAGACGGACTCTCAACCACTGCGCCACCAGGGAAGCCCTGTCATGATTTTTAGTTGTCCAGTAAGTTTTAAATTTTACTATCATGATAATTTTATTATTAATCTGTGCAAATAATGTATAATAGTAATAACTTTTCCAATTTTGAGTCAGAGTTATTAGTGGAAAAAAAAGAAACTCTTTTGCCTTTGTTAATACCTATCTAAGGCTAAATGGACAAAATCATAGTTTTTAATATAGTTATCATATTGAGGTTGGAATTAAAGTATTCTTCTATTTTTTCATGTCTCTACTGTTATTTTTTAGTAGCCCATTATGGAATTATGTGGACAAATGCAGTTGAGTACGATCGATAACATTTTCGTTGTCTGGAAGATCCTGAAATGCACATGAATAAAAATGATGATGAAAAAATTGTCTGAAAATTAGTCCAGATAATACTCCTTTCATTTCACTTGATATAGTGTTGACATGTGTGTGCATACATTCATGGATGTACAATTCCATGCTTTAGATAAAAGTCATCATGATTCTGAAACTATGTATTTTACCTGTTTGCAGTAGAAATTATATTTTTAATATATTCCATGGCCTTGAATATTTTCTATACTATTATGTTAATGGTTTAAATAGTAATACAGTTACTAATATTTTGTGTGCATATGTGCGTGCACACATGTGTAATGGCCTTTTAGGCCGTTCCACGTTGTTCACCTTGAACTTCATTCACGTTTTCTCAGGGAACTGTCTGGCAATGTACTTTTTTTTTTTTTAAGCTTCCAAGAGCATTTTGTTTATTTAACTTCCTCCTTCTCCTCTCAGTAGCACTTAGTATGAACACAGCATTGTTCTGAGGGCTTTAAGAATATTAATGTGTTTAATTCCCATGCACGAAGTGGATCCTAGTTATTACCCTCATTTTACAGTGGAGGAGCCTGAGGTTCAGAGAGAGGTTAAGAGACTTGCCCAGGGCCACACAGCTGGGATGTGGTGTGGCTGAGACTCGAACCCAGGCAGCCTAGCCCAGAATCTTGAACACACCACCCTGAGCTCTTCCCACAGACAGATTCATGCCGATGTGAGCACTGGGCAGCAGTGGGCCCTGGTGCTTGGTGTGGAGTCATCCTCACTGCCCCTCACACAGCCTGGTGGGGCTGGCACTGCCTTTCCCAGCATGCCCCTGCCTCACTGACGGGGCCCCCAAGCCCCTTTGGTCCAACATAGGGCCCTCCAGACCGTTGGCCACCAGCAGCTCCACCAGGGGACGCTGTGGTCCCATGTGAGCCACTGCGTGTTTCTTAGGTAGCTCCTGTCTGCCCGCCCGTTTCTCCCTCCCTTTGCCAGACAGACTGGCATTTTCCATCCCGTTCACACACCCCTTCCGTGGAAGGGCAGTGACCTGTGGGAAGCCACAGTCAGATGAGGAGGCTTAGGGCAAGGCTCCCTCCAGGAAAACGGGCTCTCCTTCCATCTCCTCTTTTTCCTCTTCCTTCTAAAGGATCCCAAGGGCAGAGGAGGGTGGGGTGGCATTTGAGGGGTGTTGGGAAAGCCCTGAGATTCTGGCAATGTACTTTTAATGCTGTATGTGTTACTTAACTCTTTGATTTTAAACTTCATTTCCAAAGTCCAACCTTCGGACTTCGGCTGCTTGCTGTGTGATTCCTTAGTTTCTTGACCTGAGTCGAGTTTCTCAGTGTCTGACACAGTTTTCTCCTCTGCAGTATCGGAACAGGTCTTTAATGAGCTGTGTTGTTGATAAGTTAATACAAGTAAAACATTTAGAGTAATGCATACCACGTAGCAAGTGTTCAAACAGTGTTCGTCTTTGCTGCTGTTATCATCATGATAGGAGGTTTTGAGCTTTCCTTAAACCCACTGTGGACTCTGTCATCTCTGAAGACACCACTCAGGCTCCTCCAGGTTTAATTACCCTCAGTGTGTAGAACATAATATCTAACACTTCCATATAGACAACCCGGCATTGAATTTTTATTTGTATCTATTTCATGTATTTCCTACAAAAATGATAAATCTATATCTATTTGAAGGATATCGTAATCTCTATGACAAAGCATAAGAAATTAAAATTAGACACACGAGTAGCTCCAAATACCTTTAAATGACTTTCAGAATACATACTTTTGCATAGCACAGGGAGATCAGCTTGGTGCTTTGTGACCACCTAGAGGGGTGGGATAGGGAGGGTGGGAGATGCAAGAGGGAAGAGATATGGGGATATATGTGTATGTATAGCTGGTTCACTTTGTTATAAAGCAGAAACTAACACACCATTGTAAAGCAATTATACTCCAATAAAGATGTTTTAAAAAAAAGAATACATACTTCAACCTAATTGATCTTTTCACCTCTACTCATTTTATATGCAAATAAGAACTCTGCTCATGGCCCCTTGGCGAAATGTTTTTTTTTATTTAAGGCACGGTTGACCTTCAAGGATGTGGTCATCGAATTCTCTCCAGAAGAGTGGGAATGCCTGGACCCTGCTCAGAGGGCCTTGTATAGGGACGTGATGGTGGAGACCTACAGGAACCTGATCTCTGTAGGTGAGGATAACTTCCCTCCAAAAGTTGGGAAGGTAGTTTTGCATTTACCATTGTTTGCCTTTGGGGATCGCCTGCCTTCCTTAACTGAACTCAAAGTCATGTTGACCGGGCAAGAAAAGTTTTGTGAGGTAGCATCAGGAGTTTTGGGGTTGTTTTTTTTAATTTTTTTTTTCAGTTTTATTTATTTATTTATTTATTTATGGTTTCGTTGGGTCTTGGTTGCTGTCCGCGGGCTTTCTCTAGTTGCAGTGAGCAGGGGCTTCTCTTCGTTGTGGTGCGCGGGCTTCTTGTTGTGGTGGCTTCTCTTGTTGCAGAGCTTGGGCTCTAGGTGCGTGGGCTTCAGTAGTTGTGGCTCACAGGCTCTAGAGCGCAGGCTCAGTAGTTGGGGCGCACGGGCTTAGTTGCTCCGCAGCATGTGGGATCTTCCAAGACCAGGGCTCGAACCCGTGTCCCCTGCATTGACAAGCGGATTTTTAACCACTGCGCCACCAGGGAAGTCCCAGGGAAATCCTAGCATCAGGAGTTTAAACATGCCCTTTCTTCAGATGATCTGGCCACTTCATGATATGCCAGGAGTTTTTCCAGTGCTTGAGTACGTCTAATGCCCAAGTGGAAACTTTTAAAATATTTCATTCCCTGTGCTCTACCCCTGTGCTTTTGATTCAGTACTTCTTGGCAGAGAGCTGGATATCTGTATGTTGCATTGTCCCCTCTGCACTGAGAAGGAGGCAGGCAGTGGCTGAATTTGTGAAACGTTTTTCCAGACCCATCTGTAATGTCCTCACTCTCATGTGAACGGAGAGCTGGAATTCTGGAAAAGCCACAGCAGTTGACATTTCTTTCAATAGGCAGGAATTTCTATTTTTGATGTGAGTGTTATTTGCGTATTTGAGGAAGAGGAAGCGCTCTGGACTGTGAAGAGTGACATGAAAATAGCAAAAAACCAAATGGGTGGGAATGAATCGAAATTTGAGCACAGATCAGATCTCAGAAGGGCAGAGAGGAAGCCACAGCATTAGTAGTGTTTGGGAAAGTCTACCCAGATGGAGAGTACTTTGGGAAAACAGAAGTTTATTTGTTGTCAAGTCTGAGAGGAAATTTTTCTTCTCCCTGAGTTATCACTGTCTCTCAACATGTAAAATGTATCATGTCACCCTCCACTGGTGCAGGAGCTCCATCAGCAACAAAGGCAAAGTCTTTATCATGGTCTACATCACTTGGCCATTTGGCTTCTGTGGACTTGTTATTCTTTGATTTTGAGAGTCACAAAGAGGGTTGTTTTAAAGAAGGGTCTATTGCTCCCTCAGCTCTCCTTTTGGACTTGATTCCCTTCAATGCTCAGTTCTCAGTTCTGGCACCTCAGAACCTGCATGGAGCTGTCTCAAGCCCTGTCTGCTTGTTTAGATCCCTCAGCCATTTTTTCTGTTCTGACTTGGCCACACATATCACGGATGTGTGTAATAGAGAGGTGCATTAGGTCTTCTCTAACTGTTACTTAGGAAAACTGTAAAGACAGTGGACAGAGAGATCCTCTTTTTAATCCCTAGTCCCTCCTGGGGAGAACATATGAATCTTTCTGACTAGCTTGGAATCTGTGGGTCAAGCTCATGGTTCCATGTCAAGGACTCATAATATCTGAACCCCATATCTCGTGTTTTTTTCCTCTGTTAGTGCTCTGCCTTGTAGGGAAATATATATTCTTTCTGATTTCATATTCTCCCACATTTGCATGATTTTGCCTGTGAAACTTATTTTGAAATACATACTCCCAGGGTCTGAAATTTTATCCCATTTCTTTGCTGTGATAATGTACCTGCAGTTAATGGACAACTTCTGCTGGACACTGTGGAATGGGTTTACTGTGTTACATTAAATTCTTTTTTAAAACTAAATTTATTTATTTTATTTATTTAATTTTGGCTGCGTTGGGCCTTCGTTGCTGTGCACGGGCTTTCTCTAGTTGCGGCGAGCGGGGGCTACTCTTTGTTGCAGTGCACGGGCTTCTCATTGCGGTGGCTTCTCTTGTTGTGGAGCATGGGCTCTAGGTGTGCAGGCTTCAGCAGCTGTGGCTCACAGGCTCTAGAGCGCAGCCTCAGTAGTTGTGGCACACGGGCTTAGTTGCTCTGCAGCATGTGGGATCTTCCCGGACCAGGGCTCGAACTTGTGTCCCCTGCACTGGCAGACGGATTCTTAAGCATGGCACCACCAGGGAAGTCCCAACATTAAATTCTTGATGGCAAATACTTTCCCTCATTTTTGCAATATTTCCTGCTACGTAGAGAATCACCACTATAAGCTAGTTAGTAGCGGGGTGAGCATGTTCTAGGATGCAAAATAAAGACCCTGATTGATAAGCCTTTCCAGTTCTTTTTCTGGTTATGAGGAATGTTATCAAAGCATGTCTCAATAGCACTGTGACAATGTTGTTTACATATACTACTGATCATCCCCTTTGATCCTCAAGAAATGGTATAGGAATTTCTCCTAGAGATAACGTTGTCCAAGTTCACATCCTCAAGTTAGGCTATTGACTAAACTGTTGTTGATGCCATATTTTTTGTCACCTGTGTGCCCACTGTTCATTCCACATCCACCCTTAATTTTGCAGCATCTTAATGAGAGAGCTTGGGAATTCCCTGGCAGTCCAGTGGTTAGGACTTTCACTGCCGAAGGCGCGGGTTCAATCCCTGGTGAGGGAACTAAGATTCCACAAGCCACGCCGTGCTCAAAAAAAAAAAAAAAAAAATTGAGACAGCTTATGAAGTGGAGTGATACCTTCAATGATGAACCATCATTTGTTTTGTTTACGGCACTGCTACTTTCATTTGGTACTTTTCTATGCATAATAAATGGTCTTGATTTTATTTCTTTAATCATCAGGTCTGTGTATTTGATGTTGCTCTTAGTGGTTTTGTTTCCTGTTTTCCATGTGTGGTTGGTTGATTGGGGAAGAGCCAGCCCCCTTATGGTAGAATTGGTGATTAGTTCTTTATATAGTCTTGATATTCTACTACGGCGTAGATCATTTGTAAATATTTTCTCCCATACAGTAGATTACTTTTGACTCTACTGAGTGTGCTCTAATGCACAGTAGTTTATAACTTTGAGGTAGTTCAAATTGCTGCTTTTACTTTGTCACCTGTGATTTTTGTGTTATGTCTGATAAATCATTGGTGAATGCAATGTCAGAAAGCTTTTCCTGTATGTTTACTTCTAGCAGTTTTATACATTTTGGTCTTTGGTTTAGGTCTTTCATTAGTTTTGTATATCATATAAGTTAATGGTCCAACTTAACTGTTCTGTATTTGGATAACTGGTTTTCTCCACATCTTTTTTTTAATAGACTGCCCTTCCCCTGTTGAGTTGTCTTGACCGCCTTGTACAACATCATTTGACCATGTACAAGAGAATTTTTTTTGACGTCTCTGTACTATTCCACCAGTCTCTCTGTCTTTATCTCTGTACCACACTGTTGTGATTAGTGTAGGTATGGAGTAAGTTTTGAAGTAAAGACATGTGAGACCTATGACTTTGTTCTTTTCAAGCTTATTTTGCTGTTCAGCATCTTTTGAGATTCCAAATGAATCTGTAGGGTGTATTTATCTATTTCTTCAAGAAATGCTATTGGGATTTTACTAGGGAGTGGGTTGAATCTGTTGATCACTGTGGGTAATATTGACATCTTGACACTATTGACTTCAAATACATGAATTTAGGATATCCTTGCATCAATTTGTGTCTTTTCTAATATTTTTAGTCATGTTTTTAGTTTATGGTGTACACATCTTTCTGTCCTTTTATAAGGTTATGCCCAAGTGTTTAGTTTTATTTTATTTATTTACTTATTTTAAAATTTTATTTGTTTTTATTTGGTTGCACCAGGTCTTAGTTGCTGCTCGCCGGCTCCTTAGTTGTGGCAGGCAGGCTCCTTAGTTGTGGCATGCATGTGGGATCTAGTTCCCTGACGAGGAATTGAACCTGGGCCACCTGCATTGGGAGCGTGGAGTCTTAACCACTGCGCCACCAGGGAAGTCCCCTTGTTTTATTTTTTGATGTTATTGTAAATGGAATTGTTTTCTCAATTTCTTTCTTGATTTTTCATTGTTAATATATAGAAACACAATTGATTTTTGTGTGTTCATTTAATATCTTGTAATTTTTCTGAGTTCATTCATTATTTCTAAGCAGATTTTTAGCAGGATCTTCATGGTTTTCTACATATTACATCATGTTGCTTTTAAACACATGATTTTGTTTCGTTTTCTATTTTAATACTTCTGTGTCTTTTTATGCCTATTTGTTCCTGCTAGGATTTCCAGGAATAAGCTTTTAGAAATAGAGCAGGTATCCTCTTCCAGTTTCTGATTTAGAAAGAATGCTTTCAGTCTTTGACCAGTGAGCCTGATGTTAGCTGTTGGCAGTTAATATATGTCCTTCAGTGTGCTGCGGTAGCTTTTTAAATTCCTTGTTTATTGAGTGTTTTTATCATGAAAGCCTGTTGACTTGTGTTATATGGTTTTTACTGCATCAGTTGAGATGGTCATTTTGTTTCATTCTGTTAATGTACTGTTTTACAGCAAAAGTTTACGTATCTTGAACCATCTTACTTTTCAAGAATATATCACCTTATTTTATATAATCCTTTTAGTGTGGTGTTAATTTTAGTTTACTTTTTTTAATTAAGTAATTAATCAATTGATTTATGACTCTGTTGGGTCTTCGTTGTTGCGCGTGGGCTTTCTCTAGTTGTAGTGAACAGGGGCTACTCTTTGTTGTGGTGTGCGGGCTTCTCATCGCGGTGGCTTCTCTTGTTATGGAGCACAGGCTCTAGGTGAGTGGGCTTCAGTAGTTGTGGCATGTGGGCTAAGTAGTTGTGGCTCACAGGCTCTAGAGCACAGGCTCAATAGTTGTGGTGCATGGGCTTAGTTGCTCCGCGGCGTGTGGGATCTTCCCAGACCAGGGATTGAACCCATGTCCTCTGTATTGGCAGGCGGATTCTTAACCAGTGCCCTAGCTGAGAAGTCCCCCATTTCCTTTTGATGGCCTTATTCTAGTTTTTCCTTCAGGTTTCAGCTAAGAACAGTCTTGCACATCTCATGGAATATTATATCTGTTCTTTGTGAAAATATGCATGGAAATGGGACTCAGGGAATATTGAATTTGATACCCTACATAGCAAATAATGTAATAGATGTACAACTGCTTTATATCTAAAATATTCTATTCGCTCTCTTTTTAAATCTCTTTCATTTTGGCCGCATACCCATAGGATAACTTCCACAGTTAAAAATTGAACAGTACTGTGTTACTTGCTAAGCCAATTTTTCTTTTCTTTTAACCTCATTTTTAGTTGTCTCATACAGTTTTATTCACACATATATGCAGTCACAAGGAGTGATACCCCATGTTTATTATTCCCTGTGCTTCACTGAGGCCCTTATCAGTCCTGGTCTTTCTTTACATGGTCCCTTGATGCTGACAGAAACACTGTCATTTGCTCCCATATTTAAGTTGTTCTCCTGATCTCCCCAGTTTCCACAGCATTTCTTCAGCCATCACTCCACCTTTCTCATTACTCACACTGTAAAAATGATCCCCTTTCATCCACTGAACAACTTTCTCAGGATACGACTTAAATTAACATGTGCAACCGTGATGACTCAGAAACCATTTGAAGGAGGGATTGCTGAATAACAGTATTAGTTACACAGCTCACTTCTTGTTGCATCTCCTTTGAGTTTTCCTTTCAAAACTACTGGTATTTGTATGTTGAGTCTTAATTTGTATATGCTTTGTGGTTATGGTGGAAAAACTTTTCTTTGAGAGCTAATACAAGTTTTTCCAATTGAATGTTTTGTCACAGTGTGTTTGCAGGTAGGCTGCCCTAAACTTAAGTTGAATTATGTGTAATCACTGTTTCTTTAGTAAAGAATCCTATTCATTAGTGTTCCTAAAAATCTTTAACGTCATGGTTGAGAAGTTTCATAACTGTGTTTGGTAAAAGTATTACTTTTGGTGTAACATCATATATTCACCATGAAACATTTATTCATGCAGTGTAATGAGTAGTATACCTATGGTCCTTTTTATCTTGTAGATCTCTCTCATATACACGTGATCAAGAAATTACAACTAAAATCAAACACTGATGTAGGAGAAATATTCCCAACAGTGATGTTGGGAAGCCATGGAAGCTGTGAAATCAAGCATTTTTACCTACAGGAAATACAGGAGAATATGCATGACCTTGGGGGTCAGTGGAGAGATGATGAAAGAAATTACAAAAATATCCCTACATCCCCTAATGAAGATATCACTTATAGAAGAGTTCGACATGGTGGAAGGGATTCAGGAAAGAAGCCGATTGCAAATAGGCTGGCATTATGCTTTTCGGAGGAACTGCGTATGTTTAAAAGTAAACAGAAAATCTATGAATTTCATCAAGCTGATAAGAGCATCAGCAATAGTACCTCATTTTCACCATCTCAAGAAATTTCTCCTACTGGCCAATCCACAATTTCTAATATACATGGGAGTGATTTTATGCATCTTTCAATACTGACAGAAGACCAGAAAGCACACAGGGCAAGTCCTTACAAATGTAATAAGTATGGGAAAACCTCTCCTAAAGGCTCAAACCTCAGTAGATATCAGAGAATCCACACAGGAGAGAAATTGCGTAAATGTGATGTGTGTGACAAAGTCTTTAGTCGAAATTCACACCTTGTAAGTCATAAGAGGGTTCATACTGGAGAGAAACCTTATAAATGTAATGAGTGTGGCAAGAGGTTTAGTCAAAATTCACATCTTACAAGTCATCAGAGAATTCATACTGGAGAGATGCCTTATAAATGTAATGTGTGTGGGAAGACCATTTATTCTGCCTCAGGCCTCAGGAGACATATGATAATCCATAGAGAAGCTAAACAATATAAATGTGATGTATGTGGCAAAGTCTTTAATCAGAATGCAGTCCTTGCAGTTCATCACAGAATTCATACTGGAGAGAAACCTTACAAATGTGGTGAATGTGGCAGTGTCTTTAGTCAAAAAACACACCTTACAAGTCATCTGGTAACTCATACTGGAGAGAAACCTCACAAATGTAATGAGTGTGGCAAGTTTTTTCGGGATAAGAGAACCTTTACAAGGCATCAACAGATTCATACTGCAGTGAAACCTTACAGATGTAATGAGTGTGGGAAGTTCTTTCGTGAGAAGCCAACCCTTACAAGGCATCAGCAAGTTCACACTGGAGAAAAACCTTACAAATGTAATGAGTGTGGCAGAGTCTTTAGTCAAAATTCAAACCTTGCACGTCATCAGAGAATTCATAATGGTGAGAAACCTTACAGATGTAATCAGTGTGGCAAGCTCTTTAATCGAAAAGGAAACCTTGCAGTTCATCAGAGAATTCATACTGGAGAGAAGCCTTACAAATGTAGTGAGTGTGGCAAAGTGTTTAGTAAAAATTCAAACCTTGTGTGTCATCAGAGAATTCATACTGGGGAGAAACCTTACAAATGTAATGAGTGTGGCAAAGTCTTTCGTTACAAACAACGTCTTCGAATTCATCACAGACTACATAATGGATAGAAACCTTGCAAATGTATCGAGTGTGGAAAAGCCTTTACTCAGGTCTCAACCTTTGCTACACATCAGAAAATCCATACTTAAGAAAAACCATATAAATGTATGTGGAAAGGTCTTCAAAATTCAAACTTGAAAAAAATATTAAAATGTGAAAATTCACACCTTACAATTCTTTGGCGAAATCACAATGGGGAGAAACTACAAGTATCATGAGTGTTGTAAAGTTTTTGTGTGTGCAGCCTCTCTTACCGCCAGATAATCTATAATGGAAAGAAACCTTGCAAGTATAATGACTGTCTACATGTGTTTAATCAAAATTCATACCTTATAACCTGCCCAAGAATTCATACTGGAGAGAAACCTTGCAAATGTAATGAGTGTGGCAAATTCTTCAGTGTGCTTTTAAGCCTAACTGAACATCAGGTAATCCATGATCTTGAGAGAGTTTAACAGTGTAGTGAAGTGTCAAGGCATTTAGTAGGTGTCCACATTTTCGGCTTTATTAGAATACTTATTCTGGAAAGAAACCAGATAAATGTAATTATTGTGGCCAGGTCTTTAGAAAAGGAATTTATTCACCAAGTAATTCATTCTGGAGATTACCTCACAGATGTTATGAATGGGAAAACCTTTCCTTGGGGCTAACAGCTCACCAGGCATCAGATAATTTGTGCTGGATTGTTATGAAATTATTCCTCCTACGTTTGCATCTTTGCCACTGTACTATTGTCTGTCCCAGAGAAATCCCTGTTTGAGGTGGGAGCACTTTCCGCACTTCTCATAGACTCTGCCTCTTAGTCTCAAGCAGCAAAATACCCCTCTTATTGTTTCCTGGTGCCAGGACTACCTGCTTAGCATTTTGTAACAGTGTTTGGGGGAGAAGGTGACAGCCAGTCTCTGTGATGTGTTTGTGATTCGGACGTAACCGTTTTCTAGAACTGCAACATAACTTCAGCGGAAGTGCAAGGATAGTGCACACTTTGTGTGGTGAGAACGTTTCTGCAAAACTTTGTTTCCAGTTGCCAATTCCCTCAAACAACTACAAGTTGCTAATGAACATCACTGCAGTGTAGCAGAGACTCTTCCTTTTCCTTGACCCCTTATTTTCTTAGTTTACACATTTTTCTTTTACTTTCTTGAGCTTTCACCAATATGATATTACATTTTAAATTTCAATTTCATTTGTAATTTTCTAGTATATAGAATTGTGATCGATTTTTGCATGTTCTACTTGTGTCCTGATACCTTGTAAATTATTCTTTTTCCAGAAATGTTTGTAGGTTCTTTTGTTTTTCTACAAACACCATGTAATTAAATTTCCTATTTATGCTGTACGAAATTACCACAGAGTGCCTTAAGTAAACAGATTTATTCTCTTCTTTTTCTGTCCAGAGTTGTAAATGGACCCAGAGCACTGGGCTCTTTCGGGGGCTTCAGGTCACAATTCGTTTTCTTTCCTTTCCTGAGTTCCAAATATCACTTTCATCCTTATCCTCATGGTCTTCATGTGGGTTTGCACGACACACTCTTAATTAATCAATGCTTTAGTTATCTTCTTTTCATTTGAGCATTTCCTGAACACATCGTTTAAATTAGGCCACCATCTCAGTCTACCATTGTATTAATATATATACCTCTTCATCTTACCTAACACAGTCATATCTTATTTAATAATTGCTGATATTCCCTTATACAGTGTAAGCTCCTGAAGGCAGGTTATTGTATTTCTTCCTACATATTCAGTGATTGGACTCATTCCCCATTGACAGAATGAGTGAATGTACTTTATGAGTGCAAAGACGGTTAGTGTGATGGATAGGATCATAGATCAGTAGGTCAGATGGTCAAATAAATGTGATTATATTTGTGGACTGAAATTTAATTGTCCTGTACTTTACAGCCTAATAATGTTCTGAATATTTGTCATAAATTCTCACACCATAATTTGTTCACACATGAATTTTCCGCAACACGTGCTAAACAGTTGTAGCTCATGAGTGAAGGGATGTCTTCATGAAGTTTTCTTAAGCCACAACATTTTAAATTCAAGATTCTTTCTCAAATGCTCCATTCTGTCCCCATCACTAAATAACAATCCTATTTCTCAGGTCGGACAGTTTCTATTTGTGATAGATTGCCTGGAAAACAGGAACTGAAAGAAACAGGTTTATCATTCTCACCTAACAGGAAGTCCAGAGGGTGCTGTGTTGGATGTGATGGGTCCTCTCCCTTCTTCCTCCATGACCACGTAGTCTTCAGTGTTTTCCTAGCAACTTGGCTGCTGGATGACTAAGGAGAATGACCACTGTGACGTAAAATCCTTTGCAATTTTAGATTTTGTCTCCTTTTCATAGAAATATTAATTTGAGACATCTTTTCCCAATATTTTAATTTGCGTTCAATATCCACCATGATTTTAACATGAAATGTGAATTTTCAAGTTTCGTATTTCTATCTCAAGAACAGAGATAGGTAAAGGGAAAAGGTGTTAGGGCCAGATTGTATCTATGGACTTTGTTCATTTTCCTGATAGTGTAATATTCCGCGTAACACCTGGCCGGTCTGCCCAGTGTTCCAAGTGTTGGGCAAAAAGTATTAGGCCCGTAGTGTTTTCTGACTCACAGATATATTTCCTTGCTGCTCTGATTCTAAACACAGTGAAATAATCCTTCAGTTTTAATATAATTCTGATTCTGGTATCATGATAAGAAATAGAAGAATCCTTTATTTTTTCTGGCCATGCTGTGTGGCTTGTGGGATTTTAGTTCCCAGACCAGGGATCGAACCCTGGGCCCATGGCAGTGAAAGCGCCGAGTCTTAACCACTGGAGCAACAGGGAATTACCCCAGAAGAATCCATTTTGAGATGTTTTCAGTTCGTCATCCTACCTGAAAGTGAGAGATATACCAAAGGCTTGTAGTTCAGAAATATTATTATTATTTTTTGGCTGAGTTGGTGGATCTTTGTTGCTGCGTGTGGGCTATCTCTAGTTGCGGCGACTGGGGGCTACTCTTTGTTGCGGTGCGCGGCTTCTTGTGGCTTCTCGTTGCAGAGCATGGGCTCTGGGTGCGCAGGCTTCAGTAGTTGTGGCATGCTGGCCCAGTAGTTGTGTCTCGCAGACTCAGTAGTTGTGGTTCACAGGCTCTAGAGCGCAGGCTCAGTAGTTGTGGCGCATGAGCTTCGTTGCTCCACGGCATGTGGTATCTTCCCGGACCAGGGCTCGAACCCGTGTCCCCTGCATTGGCAGGGGGATTTTTAACCACTGTGCCATCACGGAAGCCCCATATTTCTTATAAATCACAATATCAGACCCAGAGATGCCGCTTTTAGAAAGGCACCCAAGATGTTTGAAACCACGTATCCACATAAGCATCTTATCCAAGACTCAACGTGCAGTAGACTTCAGAATATACATCTTTGTGAGAATCCACACAGAGCAATATGTTTGCTAATGCTTGAACCTGAAGATCAAAACTGTGGAACAGGTCTTCCCTGGTGGCGCAGTGGTTAAGAATCTGCCTGCCAATGCAGGAGATACGGGTTCGAGCCCTGGTCCGGGGAGATCCCACATGCTGTGGAGCAACTAAGCCCGTGCGCCACAACTACTGAACCTGTGCTCTAGAGCCCACGTGCCACAACTACTGAAGCCTGCGCGCCTAGAGCCCCGTGCTCCACAACAAGGGAAGCCACCACAGTGAGAAGCCTGCACACCGCAGCAAAGAGTAGCCCCTGCTCGCCACAACTAGAGAGCCCACGCACAGCAACGAAAACCCAACGCAGCCAAAAGTAAATAAATTTATTAAAACAAAAAAAACTGGAACGTAGCGTTAACGTTGGAGAAGAAGCATTTAAGTGTAATGAATATTGTAAAGTGTTTCATCAGACATCCACATGTTTGGTATAATAAGAGAATTCTTACAGGTCAAAGTATACAGGTATACTAAACATGAAAACCCTTTTAAGAAACAGTCCGTCCTCAGGGGTCCCCAAAGAACTTATATTTGTGAGAATCCTCACAAATATAATGAATTTGGTGAATATTTTGAGCAATTCTTCAATAGACCACACCTCAGAGAATGCATACTAGGACTAAATCCTTTAGTTGTCTGAGATTAACCTGAGTTATGACATACTTCAGAATAATTACAAATCACAGCATGTTAAAACTTGTGTATGAGAAGAGGAAGGAGATATGTGGAAATGGCCCATTATCTTCAGTGTATGAATAATTATTTGAGTTTTCTTCAAAAGGCTTAATTACTATTTATGTCTTTCAATCTGAAGGTTAAAGTCTGTTGATCTTATGCCTTCATTACAGGCCTTCAATGATTGTTTCTGGGAAGGAAGCAGTAACATAAAGGGGCCAACTTTGTTAGGCATGGTTCCTTCACATCCATGTTCCCTGGAAAAACGAAGACCCTGAATGATCAAATTCAATAGTGTGTGAATTAGTGGCAGGGCGGGGCAGGGAATAATGTACAATTATGACATGACTCATCGTGCTTATTACGTTCAGGGAGCCCTTCTGTGGATAGGCCAGTGTGGGTTATAGGACAGAATCGTCTACCAATTGACCATGAGTAAAGCAGGCAGGACATTAAGGGACTGGGCTTTTCATGGCAGGAGAGTGACAGGTTACTAGGGACTGATTATCAGGTAGATATAATGCACAGGAAAAGTTGGTCACTTTCTCCATTGGATGGTGATAGCAGTCATGTACATCTATGTTTAAAGGAAATTAGTTTTATTCTTTGAAATTGAAGAGAGAACAGTTATGTTGAGAGGAAATTTAATCAAAATAGTATGTGTGTGTATGTGATTCGCCGTTTAAATGCTGCCATTACATTTTGCTATTGTTCTATTCTAAATGTATCATAGGTCTCCTGTTTTAATTCATAAAATCACATGAAATATATATATTACAAATACATACACTGCAAGTATACCCATTACAATCTTCATTCTGAAGTATATTCAGTAAGGTAACTTTCATCTGATTTTCAGGTGTATTTTTTTTTTTACAACAAAATATCAATAGATGCTATATATAAGATTTTACACTTTGTTTTTTTATGTATAATAGAGATCGTTTCAGTATAATGACTTTCTGCACTCTTTTAATACCTTTTTACACATAGCCATGTGTTCCCCTAATTTCTCAGCCCTCTTGCATCAAGGCCAGGTCTTGAGACCAATTTTGCCCAGTTGTTTGTGCATGGAAGTTGTGTGTTTCTCATTTGAATGAGGAAATCATTATTTCTTAAACATCAGGATATCACACCCAGCAATTCTACTTTTGAAAATATACCCAAGAGATTTGAAAAGATTTTTTTCATGAAAACATCTTGTATAGCATTGATGATGTGTGGAATCTAAAATACGACACAAATGAACATACCTAAAAAACAGAGTCACAGGTATAGAGAACAGACTTGTGGTTTGCCCAGGTGGAGGGGGACAGGTAGCAGAGGGTTGGATTAGGAGTTTGGGATTAGCAGATGCAAAGTAATATATAAAATGGATAAACAACAAGGTCCTACTATATAGCACAGAAAACTATATTCAATATCCTGTAATAATCCATAATGGAAAAGAATGTGAAAAAGAATATGTATATGTGTAATTGCATGTGTCATTCCTCTTTGTACATTTTCATGTGACGCAAATTTGAAAACAACCCCTTGATTTATGCAACCTCCAAGCATTTCACTGACGTAAAGGGAGAAATACAAATTAAATATATAACTTGGACAAAACAGTATCTTTGAAAAATGTATATGATCGACAAGATGAGATTCCTCAAAACCTGAAAGTCGAACTGCCATATGACTCAGCCACTCCACTCCTGGGCACATGACTAGGAAAAAAGAAAACGCTAATTTGAAAAGATACAGGCACCTGAACGTTCATAGTATCACAATTTACAGTAGCCAAGATATGGATGCAACCTAAATGTCCATCAACAGATGAATGGATGTGGGGGAGTCCCCTGTTGGCCTAGTGGTTAGGATTCCAACAAACGTGCAATGAGATCTCTGTGAATCGGGAAGAGGAATGTAGTGTGTATATTATTAGCAGGTGGAAAATTGTCGTCTTTCCTAAGCAAGACATCAGGAGTTTACTCTTGAATAAACATGCAGTTTTGTATGAAAGAGTCTGATTCCATATTTGAGGTCTGACTATAGACACCTTTAAGTCTCACTACAAACTGTTCCTCTTCTGCTCATGTGAGCAGGGCAGGCTGATAATAAAGCTGAGTGCGCCTTCCCTTGGCAGTAGTTGTAGGTTCACGCAACGAGCAAGTACCATCACCTCAGCCCGGTCCTGTATCCAGAATAACACAAGCCCATCAGCGTTCTCTGCTCTCTCTAGCCATTTT